CAAGATTACTCATCATCATCAAACAGAGCATAGAGTGGTAGTAGACTCTCTATCTCAACTTCCTCGACTTCGAGAAGCTTCTGACAGAGTTGACGGCAAAGTAATTAGGGAATTGCTTCAACACTGCAGAGTACCCCAATCCTTTGTCAACCACATTCAACATCTGTATGATTATGCCAATTTAGCAGAATATACAGCTTGAAAATTTCCCGCGTTCAACATAAAGAAGAAGATTTCGATTTTGAACACTAATATCAAGTCAGTCAGTGTTTCCATAAGCTTCAGAGACGTGATACCCACATCACCAAAAGTATTTTCAACCTTTATGGCGAAGTTATACTTCAGGCACCGAAAATACCGACAGACGAATGACCCTGAAAGCACCAACCACATGATAAAGGCGATTTTTGCGTATAAAATACATATATTCGTGAAAATAATGAATTAAAAGGCATGAAAATGTTACACAGGGTGCCTTTCTCTGAGGTATGACGAAAATATCTCTCAATTTTGGATTGGAGTATCAGTGGTGTGATTAAACCACATTCTATGCGTGTAATTATCTAGCTTTTCTAAACCTAACAATAACCCTAATCTTTCTTTAACTAAGTTACTCCTAACGTAAAAATATCCCTAAGCTAACCCTAATGTAATTCGAACCAAACCTAGTGTCAGCCTCATTGGATTAATCTAACCCTAACCTGTCCTTAGACTAAGCCTTATCTTAATCTTTCGCAAACCTAACCTGAAACTTGACAGATATCCCACTGTATAACATAACACTTCATTACAGTATTATTTACTAGGTTTCACTAACTTCGTCACTGAGGATTTAAAGGTCATTGATGCGGCCGCGCTCCAGTGGTACTTACTGGTGCTTAAAGTTTAACTTGGCTATTTTTATCACTGTTTGACCTCGATTCCTCCTGAAAGTCAAATGGCTGACCAGAAAGGATAAGCCTCAAGGAGTTCTGGAAAGGAACTAACCAAGAACTCATTCCTCAACAAATATGGAGAAGACAACGGAGATGGATCGGAAACAACTTTAGAAAACCACTGAGTGACATCATACGTTATTCAGAGCTTCAGGTGGGACCCGAATAGGAAACGACGAGTTAGACTTGAGTCCGAGGGTGATACGGGGTAAATTGTGTGCGGAGATGACGGGAGCTTTCAGGCAGTCATGGAGCCAGTTAAAGGGGACTGCAAAGAACAGGATGAACTCGAGATGTGTTATTCACTCGCATTCCAGTGGAATGATAATAATAATATAATAGTAATTCTTGGAAGGTGATTAGATCCTCCTTTTGATGAAGAAGCGAGGGTAGAAGAGTAACAGCGTATTACGCATCAAACTGAAGACAAATGCAAGTAGAATATGTAATGTCCCAATTCACAGGTATACAATACGTTTTTATGTCCGAACTACACTTACAGGTGCAACTCCCTGAGCTAACATAGCATATGAGTTGTGTTTCATATCTAGGACTCTGTCATGGCACAGAAAAGACTGTCAAAGAATAAATTCAAGAATCTAACACCGTGAACACACTAAAACATACTACTGAGGCGTTGAACACAAATAACTAGAGTGTGTCGTCTCAGTGGCTCAATGGTCAACAGGGATCACCTCATAATCTAAAGGTCCTCTCTTGGATTCCCCACGAGTTTACTACAGAACAGATCCAAATTAGCATGAAACAGCTGCTGATTACTTCCTGGTTTTATGTCAGTTGTTCGGTATCAGAATGCTCTGCAACGACGCAGGTGGTCAGGCTCTGATTATCGGGCTACTCACTCTTATACCTTATCTAGTTTACTAGCCGGTAATAGGCCCAGAATAGAGGGGAGGTTAGGCATGAGGCTAGTTACCACACTGCGTAAAGAAAATCGATATCGCCCCTGCTGCAACTACTCAAAAGCTTAGAGACTTATGTTTTATTTAGAGTACAAAGTAATAAAAAACAGAGTTATAATACATTATTCTTTACACTATCATGCATATTTAAACAATATTTAATCCACTAGTTACTTATACTCCTGTTCATATATATTATTTAAATAATTGTGTAACAGCCGAATTGATTATTGGCAAATTGATGTACAGATATGGCAGAATGCATACGCCTTGCATTGAAATCACCACTTGCACATTTTCTCCTTAGTGTGCTTCTTCTCTCTTCCCTTAATGTTTTCTGTGTTGCTTCAAAAAGATCCTTCATTTCTCTACTTCTTAACTGAATCTATCCTTCTGCTATTTAATGTTCTTGCAGAAGACATCACACACACACGCAATTTACTACTTACAAAATTTTGTCAGTAGTGGTCACCACACTTGTGCAACATAACTATCTGCAGAAATGAAATTTCCCTATTACCTTCTTGTTGTCTGTACACACTTAAGATTGACATATAGTTTCTTGTCAGACAGAAGTCACTTCAAACACACATGCATACACACGCAAGCCAGAACAATTTGAATCACACATTCATTCAGTAATTAGAAATTAACACAATCGACTAATGTCAAAACAAAGTGGTCATTGTCAATTTGGGAAATATAACCTGACCATTCCAATTATATAGACAGTTCTGACAATGAATAATCAAAACATTGACTAGCTGACTGATTGATCAACTGATCTGAGGATTGGTCACAGAGAATTTAGGGTATAAATAAATTATACTTCAGACTTCATAGTTTTATTGTTATTATTCATTCAGTAGGTAAGTGAATACTGATTGTCTGTCTGATGCTTTTTTCATGAGAAACTGATTTTATGCGCATATTTCTTGTTTATAATCAGTTTATGTAGATTGTATTGTTTCGTTGTTGTTCTCTTGACCTCCAAGTGGAACAAAAAGAGGTCCGGTAGCACATCTCTATCTCCTCACCAGCTGGCTCCACGTTTTTGTTGATGCTTTCACCTCCATGACACATTACCTACTTCATTTCACCCTTATCCAACGACCAACTCCTTGTTTCCCATTCGGGTCTCAGTCAAGGACCTGGTGCGTGACATACCTTCAGTGCATGTCTAATTTGTGTTTATTTTCTTCTGATTATTTATTTTCCAATGGGTTCTTGGTTAGTTCGTTACTTGCCACAATTCCATGTTGCTTATCCTTTCTGAACAATGTGAAGTGAAGACAGCGGTTAATCGAATTCCTCAGCTCACTGAATATGCTTCCGGTAAAGTGTGTGTCAAGTCTTTGAATAATTAGTCCCTGATTGAAAATCCGAATCTGTTTGCCTATGCTGAGTGTGGCTGGCTTCGACATCTTCATCCGTACCACATGTAATAAGGACAATGCTGCACAGACAAGTGAAAGAGGTTAACCTGTCTTAAGTTTCTCCCTCTGATAACAATTAGTGCTTATTGTTGTCAGTTAGACATCTTCGTCAGCTCTGTCGTCTCTATATTGATTTGAAGTCCTGTCTTTGGTGCTTTTTCTGCCAACTTATTGGTTTTTTTTTCTGTAGATCTTTATTAGGGGACTTTTCCACATTACTTCAAAATCGATACTGTTAAAGGTCTCTTTACAGTAAAAAGAAGTTGAGATGGAGAGTCGACCGCCATTTTTTTTCTCTGTCCGATGGTGATGTGTAGCATTGCATTTGGGCCCGAATATTATTTGCTTTCCTTGAATCCAACTTGTTATAGGTGTACTTTTGCAATGAGATCATTTTTTTTAGTCTCTGTATGATAACATTAGGTCGCTAGCCCTACACCCAACCTTCCACCTTTTACCGGCTTCAGGACTAGCTGGTAGACTATGTAAGACCCAACAACAAAAATCCCTACTAGTTGTGGACAGATTTATATTCACTTTGTAAGCTCAGTGGACAAGGAGGTGAAGAGCACTCATGCACCACACAAATCGTATTTACAAATTAATGAATGGATGAACATTACACATCTTACACCCCTTTTTCTCTTTGGAGAATATATTGTCTTATTTATCAGGTATGTCAGGAGTTAACCTCAATGATGAGGTAAAACGCTTTCAATAATTAAAGAATTAGCTGTGAGCTACTTGAAACCACTCTACAGCTGCTTATTCAGTTTTGTCAATTTTGAAAAACCCTTCAAGATGTAGACCTTCTGAAGTGAAACTAAGTCCATTAAGCTTTGTTGATGATTAGTAGGTGATAAAAGGATCTAACGATCGTAGGTCAGAAACAGTTGAGGTACAGGTTCACACTTCTGAGGAACCCCAAACTAGGACGAAACAAATGTCAAGTTCTCCCTAGTTTTCAAACATCGTGGAAGCGTTCATAATAGTTGCTGGCGTGTGGACAGAGACGCTGGATTGATGAGAATTCAAACTTAAACAATATCGAACCAACAGTTTAACAATAATAATAATAATTTGCTTTATTCCAAAACAGTACATGTGATACAGAATGGAATTCTCAGCATTTTTACTAAAGTATTGCATCCAGTTAGTACATTATCAATAAATAGAATTCTACATAGATTAAGGAAATCTCAGTTCATTATTACAACAACACATTGGCATGTCGGTAGCAAAGATAAAGCTGAACAGTGTTTGAAGGTGTTAGAAAAGTAGGAGCTGTCATATTTACTGGCGTAAGCGAGAGAAAGAAACAAAGCAGCACATAACGGAAAAAAGAGAGAGAGAGAGAAAAGGAAAAGAAAGAAAGAAAATGTTGTACCCATAAGTGATATTAGTTGGAAAGACGAGATCCAGTTGTACTGGATCCAGTTGTACATACCTCTCATGTCTAAACTGTTGAGAAGGACTGAAGTTATCTCTAAGTAGACGAGTAATCTTACAACTTACATTGATCAGAAAGTAAGCGGTATCTGGTAGGCGAACGCTCAACCATTCTATTGCTGATTTATTCACGCTACCTTCTCAATAGTGAAACAGGCGCTAGTAATGCTTTAAAATCACGTATTACTGCTTCTGCGCCCGATGGTTTCAAACAAATACACCTCATCTGATATATTTTGTTATATTTTTGTCAATAGGTTTCATAATCATTGAGTTGGAATGACGCCTCAATTCTTCAGCCTTCTACTGCTTGTATCGATATCTGTACTTTTGATGACTCCCATTGCGGCTAAAGCTACTGAACATAATGTTCCAATTGGTTTCAGTGACAAAAGTGAGTTTAATTCATAATATAAATTAATAATAATAATGTTTAATAATGTATTTATGATCACTTAGTGAAATCAGTCATAGAATTGCTGAAAAGAAGGGATTACTGGACAGCTATTTCGTCGTAGTTTGGAGCCCTTCAATAGTGTGCATACATAACTCTACCAGGGGTCGAATCCGGGACCTTCTGTTTCTGAGGCTAGTGACTTCCAGCTTTTGTCAATGAGTATATAGTAATGAATGATAAATCAGTGTTTATCCTGTTGCACTGAAACTGAAAACTTACGTAATCATTCGTTCAATTCTTATCAGATGAACTGATATATTTAATATGGTAAAACTTATTCCTTGACTCCGTATGAATTAGTTGAAGAAGGTGTGATAAATACGGGTTTCAGGACGTTTAGTTCATCTTAGAGTCATAATGAATTTACCATGGTTCAGTATAAGTCATGTGAACAGGAAATGTAAGATATAAGCTGTTTGGTTTAATATATATGTATATATAGAACTGCTATTTAGTCGTTTTCCATTCACTTCAACTGACAGCACCTCAAATACATGTTTACATAATTTAATAAGGGATTCTCAAAGTGTTTTTTATGAATTGAACCTCAACGAGGTATAAAAGGAAATTAAAGTAGGTGCATGAAAATCAATTAATGTGGCAAGCACTGTCAATAAGACAATCAGGGATAAGTAGGGCAGTCAAATCATTGGTTATTAAAGTTATTATCATATTATATTCAAGTATTGCTGAAGAGTCCCAAACTAGGATGAAACAACTGTCCAGTACTCCCAGGTTTTCCAATGGTTCTCTAACCAATGTCAGCTCATGATGAAATCCTGTAACCTATCATATTATATTTTTGTTATTATTCCTATGAGTTCTCCAGTGGTCAACGCCACAATTGCCTATTATCTTATTTTAATTTCACTCACTCACTTCTGAGAAGGTTTAGTGAAATTAAGGTTTCAAGAAGTCAAGGATTTTATCTTTGTAGACCCCTAGAATGCCCCACTCGTTGTTTCTCATTCAGGTTCTACTTAAAAGCCTTGCACAATATGTTATCTAATGGTCTCCTTAGCGTGTGCTCACTTTATCTCCCTTTTCTACGGAATATTTGTTGAACACTAAGCCTGCAGCAGCCTGGTGGAAGTGCTTTTTGTCAGTCGTGTGCACAGTCTCTAAACCATATTGAAGCACTGACTTGACACTGGTGCTGAAAATCTGAACTTTGTTGTTTATGCTGAGTGCGGCAGATCTCCGAACTGTTTTCAGAGCGATGAAGGTCTGTTTTAATTATATTTCCAGTTGATTCGTATAAAACGAAGGAAATTCATCTTTGATCAGAGGTCAAATCAGAGACAGATTTCATTAAATCTGGAAAAACAGATTTCTGTAAATACTTCAGATAACATCTCACTTTCTGTTAGCTTTCGAACTGAACCGGCAATGACAACAAACAATGACACTGAGCAATTTTGTCCCTATCTTGAAAAACAACAACATCTCAGATACCAGACTACCTACAATGTTATCTGCAGTTGCTTTCTCGCATTTCGTTTCAGTTCATTGATTTCAAATCGTAACGCGGATACCCTGGTTTAAACATTACTTGAGAAAATTCCGTTCTCCAGTAGAAACATTTACCGGATATCTGGGTTAGAAGTCAGTGTGAACACAGAATATTCTTTTAAGGAAATTGTCTTCGGGTTCATACAGACATTAAAATAGCAAGTGATGAAACGGATTGAACGCTGTTGTGGTTAAGAGGAAGTTCTATGCAGCTGATATCATAATAATTGAGAATGTGAAGCCCTTAGACCATGCGAAAAATGATGTCACATTCCATTGTATTTACCAATTTGAATGTACGTGTGAACACACATACACAGGGAGGAGTCATCGATCTCTGCAAGTAAGGGCCGGCTTCAAAGCATATTCCTAAATGGCTCCAGAAGCAAATAGAGTCCCTAACACCCATTAGTGGTGAGAACAGGCGACAACCTAGCTACTCTATTGAGAAATATATTATAGAGACAGGACATAAAATTAACATTTCCATATCTTTTAAACCCATCTACAAAACGTGTTTGGAGGGTATCCTAAATTTTGTGGAAGCCCTAGCTGGCAATTAGAAGGTTTAAACCAACTTTATGCGTTCATCAAAAACAGTTCTTCATCACACTAAACTTTTCTTGGTAAACTTTGTTTTGATACCATAGCAGATGTACTGTTACCTCTGTTATTTGCTTTAGTGGTCTGCATTGTTATTTCGACCTTCAATATGTCCTTTTAACTTGACCTAACTTTGTTTTCTCACCTCTTAACTCCTTTATTAATTCCTAAGACAAGTCCGTTAGTGGGATCAAATTGTTCGAGATGTGTTGCGCAAATACACATTACTCGATTCAGACAAGTTACGTCTTCTTATTGCTTTTGCTGGATTTATTCATATTTAGACTTCATAAATCAGTAACTCAAAAGGTGAAGTCCCTACTCACCACAAAATTATGCCCAACTCTTTTGTATTCCTGATAGAAAATCACTGGACAGTGTTCTACGTCTTGAACTACTCTCCATTTATGCATCATTGCGTTACGAGATATTAAATTTTGGTTGGTACTATGACAACGTTCCATGAAGTCTTTGACTGTTGCTAAGAGCCACATAGATAGAGAGAAGGCTTTTAAGCTGTCTCGCTGTTATCCTAGAGTAGTGAAGATCCATTGTTTGAAAACTGTTAGTCACATGGATCAGAGTAGTTCTCCTAGATCCATTTGATGTTCTATGTGAATCTTATATTTTCTCCTACACATTAACGTTTCCTCTATATCCTTGTATGGGCTTCTGTCAAGTGTACAAATTGAACTACTGAATTGTAGTGGAAAGTTATATGCTAAAAATCCGGTTCACTTCACCAATATCCATTTTTGTGAATGTTTATAAAGCGGAAAAATTGGTCAGTGGGGTACAGCAGGTTGGCTGTAAGGACAAATACCAGCGATGACATTGGCTAGTGGTCGCGCTACATCGTGAATTGGCAGGAGTTGAATTCATGCGCTGGCCATTGGATTGGGTGACAGTGGCTTAATGGTCTACAAATTAGCCTTGTAACCACAAGGTCCTGCGTTTGATCCTCAAAGAGTGCATACTGCTGGGGAGTCCCAAACTAGAATAAAAGAGCTGTCCAGTATTCTCTGGTTGCTTTCCAGTCGTTCTCTAACCGATGTCAGCTCATAATGAAATCTTGAAAGCAATCAAATCCCTACAAACCAACAACTGAAAAGGAAAATAATTTTTCTTAAATTACAATTACTGTCAGTCATTTGTCACGAATGACCCCTATAGACATACAGTGACGTCGTCTAATAGAATCTACTTCATGTTTTATGCATAGCCGGACTGTGATTACAATTAATGCATTCGGTCTGCACAACTTACTTAAGTTTCATTCACTAAATCGATAAGTGTATTCTCTGCGGCAGATATCGACTGGGGTTAAGCTTTCAAGGGTTGTTTTGCATGGAATTGATTTGTTTCAAGTTTGATCATGATAAACACTGAAGACTACCATAGAGCACTGGACTGCCGTTTTATCCCAATAAGGAAATCACCAGCAGTGCTCACCCATCAGAAACCAAACTCACGGCTATCAGGTTACAAGACAAAAACTCTTAGGCCACTCAGCTACTGTGTGGTGAGAGCAAGATGCTAGCCAATTGGTAGACATTGATCTACGCTGATTGGTGGAAATTAATCCAGGCTGATTTAACAACCGATCACAGCTGACCTAGACGTGGACAAATATGATTCGCAGACAGGTGGCTCGCATTTCCGAGAAATATCGAAAACGAGAAAGCAGAAGAAGACTGCCTTTGTTTGCAAACAACCAATCAGAAGACCGCCTTCTTTCTGCGGGCAGAGCCTTATTAATGTACGTAAAATACATATAAATACCTGTGGTTTTTTGTAATAAAACTGATCTGTTGCCTGGCCCTTGTCTTCTGTTGTTACACTGGACCCGACTCAGTGGACTGCGAATTCTAACTCCTATCAAATCGTAGTTTTTGGCGCGACCACCAGCCAGTGTCATCGGCACGTATTTGTCCTGACTGCTGACGGGTGGAAACCCCTGGTTATGAGGTCAGGTTTACTAAGCTTTCTGTATAAGCCCAGGAATGATCCTTTATAACTACTCAACTGTTGCCTAATTCGGGGTACCACCGAAAATTATACATTTCATCCAACAGTTGTACGACAATGCTACATGCCAAGTAATCCACAACGGGAAACTTACGGAACCCTTCGAAGTGAGGACAGGAGTAAGACAACGCTGCCTACTATCGCCAATGATTTTCCTGATTGCAGTAGACTGGATAATGCGACGGACAGCGGGTAATGAGGAAACAGGCATAAAATGGACTCACACAAAAAACTTGGAGGATCTGGACTTCGCCGATGATATATGTCTGATTTCCCACAAACTGGAAGATATGCAAGTGAAAAGGAACAAGTTGGCAGAATAAGCATCCAGAGAAGATAGGACATCAGGTGAACATAGAGAAAACAGAGGTGATGAAGATTCCTGGAGAAGAACAACAACAACAGACAACGATCAGCATAAATGGGAGGAACCTGAAAGAAACTACCTGCTTTACCTACCTGGGAAGCATCGTTTCAACTACAGGCGGAACTGACGAGGATATCAAAGCAAGGATCGGAAAGGCAAGACAAGCTTTCACTGCTCTCAAGTCTGTGTGGTCGTCAACAGCACTCAGCATCAAAAATAAGATCCGGATATTCAACTCCAATGTGAAGTCAGTGTTACCTACTATACGGATCAGAGACTTGGCGCGTCATAAATCGCATCTCAAACAGACTACAGACCTTCATTAACAGCCAGCTGTCTTCGCTCAATACTCAAGACCAGATGGCCAGAAAAGATCAGCAACAGGGATCTCTGGGAGCGAACCAACTCAGCAGGAACCGATTGTGAAACAAATAGGCAGGAAGAAATGGAGATGGATTGGCCATAATGTGAGCTATACTCTGAGGAAACCATCAAGTGACATCACTAGACAAGCCATTGCTCGAGTGGAACCCGAAAGGGAATCGGCGAGTTGGTCGTCAGTGCAAGGGTGACTTGGAGGAGGTCATGTGAAGAGGAGATGAAAACGTGTGGGCAGACATGGAGCCATGTGAAGACTCTAGCAGGGAACCGAACTCAATGGAGACGCACGGCTGAAGCCCTATGTTCCTCTAGGATTTAAAGGATACAATAATAATAATAATGTTGCCTAATTGGATACAGTGAAGTGACTGTAGCGTCAGACACACACATACACATGGAAAGTCTTCGTGTATGTTTAAAAATCAGTTTGTTAATTTGCTTGCTTTGCAATAGTTTTATTTTTAATTCTATTTTTTTAGATGAAATGTTTTTAACATTCAGAGATGTCAAATTTCTACTGGATAAGAATGATCAATTGACAATGAAAGATAGTGATTGTATTGCGACAGTCGATTTGGCCCCACCCAATGCTAAAGAAAAAGAAAGTAAAAGTGTTTATCGTCAGTTAACACGGTAAGTTAATCAAAGAGTGCAATTCACTGTGTTATCAAAGCAGTCATAGAGATTATCGTTTAATTTAGGTACTTATCCTAAAAAATGGTTTGTATTAGTGGATTTGAATGCAGACTTTGCAATGGAATCAGCACTGAACATTCACTGTAGAGAAGGGCTGTGGTAGATTTGAATTTAAACTATCCAGCTTAGATATGAGTGGCTTAAAAAACCCCATTAAGTCACATCAAGGAAGAGTTACTCCCTTCCGCGACATAATGAACAATTCTGCATATAATACATTTCCATAAAAACCCAAGGATTGTTTCCAAAGACATATAGGTTTCAGATAACAATTACTTAATATAAAAAGCGTTAGTTGGCGTAGAATTTACAGTAAAATTAAATAATTAATCTCATAGTATATCTGTAATTTAGCGGTAGGATGTCCTCCAATTAAGCATGTAGACAGGAGCATAACCCCTGGCTGACGCACTCCCAGACATCGCTTAGCCGATATTAAGCCTGGTAAAGGTTGGAGGTGAGACTAGCAGCCACAACCCATAAGAAATAACACTACTGCTTCTGAAACTTCAAAGGTCTAGCTTGAAGTCCTGTATTCCGCTTGGACTGGGGAGGAATGAGAAAATGCAAAGTGATTGACGTAACATAATTGACAGGATTGAGCAATGCTCAACTAAAACTGGAAGTGGGTTAATTTAAGATCAGTTTCAATAATGGATTAGGAACGCAGTGGTGAGAAATGAAACAACAGAACAGATACCGCTTAACTTTAGGTAAATTAATGTAAAAATTTTCCTGCAAAGGTTTATTTTGTGATTTTAAATTCACCTTAAACGAAGACTACTCAGATTATTTATTAACTTTATATTGTTATCCCTGCACTAATTCGATAACATATTTTTTGAGTAGTGGGAATTACAACTGAGTTGTATGTTTTGACTGCCTGTTACTGACTGGTTTTTCTTTTCGTAAGTAGAAAATGTATCTTAATATCATGAAACTAACGGGGTCCTATGTTATTAAGTTATGTAAGGGACAGTCAATAAAATCAGACCTTAGAACTAAAACGACAGGAATCAGTGAAATATTTATTATGTAAAGTGTCAATTTAGGAGGACTAAAGGCAGAGGCTACCAATGTAGAAGTAATTATCTTACATGAATTATTCATAAATACCAATATTCAGGCAAAAAGATCATTTCTGGTAAGGCCACCTACCAGCCTTAGGTTGGCTGACTATAACTGATCCAGTGCAGTGATGACTAAAGCTGGAATGTGTGTCTGAGTAGCGGCAGCATTGGAATCAGTAGTCAGCTGATTACTACACTAACCCGATGCTTTACCACTGGCCTATCTGCCAACCAGGTTATATCAGAGAGGTCATAACTTAACGTCCCAGTACTTTCGGTCTTCAAGAAGCAAATCACACTTAAACGTTTAATTCCTAAACATATGCTGTACATCCGAGAACTGTGAATATCTAGTGTTACTATGGCACACACATACGTCAGAAGAGAAAGAATGTAGTTGCAGAAAAATAAGTATATACAGGGGATGTGGAAAGTAATCTAAACATAAGTCCATGGTATTGATCGGGCTGAAGAAGTCTTTTTAGATCTTTTTAGGGCCTTGAGTGAAACTTTATGTTTGGGTGAGATTAACAGCTACACAGTTCCAGTTTAGATGTCATCACAAGTCAACACTAATTAGAAAATCAGTGAAAACCGGGAAGCACTGGACATTTATTTCCTCCTAGATTGGGAATCTTCTGCAGTGATCACCCACAATCCCATCAGGGGTGGAACCCTCAAGTTACGAGGTTAAGCCCTTTGACTATTCACTCACCTGGATCAAAATTCATTGACCTATAAATTTTTATTTTGACATTTCCTGATATAGCGCTGCGACCAATCAGTACCATTAATTCGCAAACTTTTCACCTTGACACGGAACCAACCTCTCATTACAACTTCAGGACACCTAAGTGTCAATCTCCAGCTCTCTGGCGACTACCAGATGGAAATGCGTCGGTGGCACAGTGGTAAGGACTCTCACCGACCATGCACATGGTCCGAGGTTCGATCCCCTACCGACGCACACCCGATATCTATGGTCGGCCTGCAAAATTTGGGCTACTGATATCCATGTTGAAAATGCCATACTTGTACTGAAAATACGGTGTGGCATTAAGCTGTAATCAAAAATAAATGAAATAAAATAAATGTTGCTGATAGGTTGAGCGTGTGAATTACTGAAGACCCCAAAACTTGGACTAAACAGCTCTCGAGAAACCTCTGGTTTTCATCTATTCTTTAACTGATCCGAGCTCGTGACGGAATCTTAATTGAAATTAATTCCAATCCCTATAGAACCAGTATCACAAACCAGATATTTATTGAGTAGGGGAGTATCTATCTGACAGTTTACAAATTTATCATGATAACAGTTGAAAAGTGTTAGTGACCAATTTCGATTGAATATTTCAACAGTACAAGAAAACGGAGAAAAAACTAGATAAACTTACTGAAATATTCTTCTCCAGAATATAATGTTTGAGGATTTGAAGGCGACTGAAGAATTTGACATTCTGGTTGAAATTTACATCGTGTAATCTAACTGATGTCGAGTTGTGATCAAACTTGTAGGCAATCAAATCTTTAGCAGGATTTTTCATCATGAGCTGACATTAGTTAGAGAACCACTGGAAAACCTGAGAGTACTGGACAGCTGTTTCGTCCTAGTTTGGGACTCTTCACAGTATGCACCCACCGGGATTCTTTGTAAGCCAACAAGTGATAATCTATTTTTGATAATCACAGTGTTTTCCAGGTGATTCAATAACTTTGTAGCACTATTAATCACTAATTGATACCATTTAGACATTGTTGCCTAGCCAAGGGTCACTGAATAACTGTTTCATTTTGTCGCTCAACTGTTTGGCAGGGGACATCAACAACTCCAATGACACTGCTGAATTTTTATCACTAAAATGTAACACCCATTCAGTACTTCCTCTTTTTTGATGGGCTGTTTTATATGTTTATTAGCAATGAAGATTACTGTGATAATTGTAGTCCGCAGGACAAGGAGACATGTCAACGTGGGTTGAGAATGTCGGCTAATAATAATAATAACTTCAACAAATAAGGAATAAAACTCTCTGAACAAGTAGTGGTTGTCATCACTGAGCGGCTTAATGGATTACCAACCCTTCGACGTTTTCAAGCAACAGATATTGGGTTTAAGTGTTAGTGTGAAAGCAGTCATCCACTTTTTTCACTCCTTTGTGTTTCTGGTGGAACAAAGGGCTTCAGGTCGAAGCCATGACGCTTTGGTAGCGGTGGCTATATTTATAAGGCGTGAGATTGGTAGCCTCAGGTTCAACCCCACCCCTGTCCTTACCGAGTTTACTAATGGCTGAGAAGTTCTAGGGTGCATCAGCCAGGAATCATACCCGGACCATCTTCGTGAGTGCTGAGTACTTTACCGTTCAAACACTGTGCTCAGTCACCCAGTAGTCTTCTGGATAACTCTCTGGCTTTCAAAGCAATAAGTACTTGGTTTCAGTCTCATAAGGAACACTGTAGATCAATCACTGACGGTCGCTAAACAGGGCTAAATGGGCCTCCTGAATTCCACACTGCTAGCCACTGTCACTGACACGTGACTCCAAAGCAACGTCCAAAATTTTTTTTACAAAAGGCTGATATGTATCAACAGAGATTGGGCATTTTAGTGAAATTCAAAATAATTTCATCAAAATATTTTATGGAATAATATTAGATCTTTTATTATTCTTTTGTTTGTCTTCCCCCACCTCATTTATTCTAGAATATGTACTTCATGGTTTCAAAAATCAAACGAAGAAGCAAAGGCCTAGAGGAATGGTACATTAAATCAGATTCCTTTTGTTATGTTCATTGATAAAGCATAATTTTGTTTTGAAAAAGATTCCTCATCGTCCTGTTTTCTGCTTTTTAATTACTTACCGGTTTATGGCAAATGAGTAGTGTCATAGTGTTATTCACAGAATTAATTAGCTAATTATTCGAAAATTATACCACATTGGGTCTAGAAATGCTTAAGTCTAAAAAAAAACATAGAAATGTATTCTCCAATGGCTACTGACAGCATACAGAGGAATAGGAAGGTCTTAAAACCTTTCAGTAACCATGATATATATTATCCTTCGTAGTTCTACATCGTAATGACTACATGGTAGGAGATTTCAAGATTTATAAAGTATTGATGTCAGAACCCATTTTGCAAAGGCGGTGGGCATAATTCAATAAATATTCTTCTGTGAGTCTCGGAAATCTGTGTGACAAACATAGTCACACTAAGTTGTACTGATGAGTCTAAATATGTGTGTGATTTTGGATTCATACATGCATCCCAAGTAGGTAACTTTGTTCCCAATAAGATTCAAACTAAGTACACATTGCTTCAAATGCCAAAAACGTATTCCATTAGATCACTTGACCTAGAGAGCCACCGCCTGTGCTATCAGTGCGATATGAAATTATTCGTATATATGATTTTTCGCTTGATCTATCTAACCAAGATTGACTAGCTTAATTTTGGTACTAGAGACACTTTGTATAGTTACCCTGTTATTACCCGGAATCAAGGATGTGCTTTTTGTTCTACTTGCGGATTGTCAGCTGGAGAGCAACTGGATCCAGCTGATCGCTAACATTTGATCTTGGATGACCGACTTGATGAGGTTACCAGTAATCGCTAACTTTCAACAATTAGCTCCTTTAGGAAATTGGAATAATACAATAAGAACATCTTTTGAAGGATGAGATGAATTCATTCTATTTCACATACTTTTCATCATCAAGTGCATACAAGCTGCATATGAAATAATTTTAAAAAACTTTAAATGAATAATCAGTACATTTTATAAGATTTTGAAAAACGTGCCAAAAATGGAAACGAGGTACAAACGCATTAAGATATGATAGAGAAGATTTGTAGCTCAGGTGGATGATTTTGATGTGGTTGTGTTCTCTGAGCTGGATAGTTAATTTGCGAAGCTTTCATCACCCTACTAGGCGACATCTTCAGCGCATACTTCAATTTGAAGTGAGCTTTTAGATTTCTCCACGAGTTTATTAATCATCTCTCCCGGTGACCTTGGACGTGATTGGTTGTTTTTGTGTGTTTTCACACCTTCTAGGTTACTTGTATTGTCATTCATTGTTTCTTTGACTTGAACTTTGACCCTTTGTGTGTGAGGTTTCTTTCTTATCGGTTGATAAATTTTGTCTATCTCGATGTGTCTATTGATTGATGATTCACTGGAATGCCAAGCTTCTAAAAATTCTCTAGCATTCTTGTTGTTTCCTCTGTTTAATATTTGAACGTTGTCCCAATCGAATTGATGTCCGTGGTTGTCTGTATGTAGTGATATGAGGGAGTGGATATCATGTCTTTTGACAGCTAGCTTATGTTCGTGGATACGAAGATGAAGGGGACGTCCACTTTGGCCAATGTAGTGTTTCCGCAGTTGATACAATCTATTTTGTAGATGATGTTAGTTTTATCTTCTTTCGCTGTTGAGTCTTTTGGTTGACATAGAATTGAGTGAAGTGACTTTGTTGGTTTTTGTACGACGTCAATTCCTAAAGGTTTGAAGAGTCTTGTAGGGATTTCTGAGATATCCTTTATATATGGTAAGGCGATTTTCTTTGTGCTTTCCTTGGGGGCTTTTGGTTTGATAGGTTGGCTTGGGGGTATATGTCTTCTGATGAAATTCCGTGGATATCCATTCTTTTGGAAGACGTCCATGAGATATCTTTCTTCAATTTTCCTTAAGGTGGGAGTGCTGCAATGAGTCCTGGCTCTCTTGAATAGTGTTTGTATGCAATTCCTCTTGTGTGCTATTGGATTGTTGCTGTTGTAATTCAGGATTTGGTCTGTGTGAGTTGATTTTCTATAGACTTGAGTTTCTAATTCCCCTGTGGTTGTTCGCTTGACTAAGACGTCCAAAAATGGAATTTGGTTCTCTGACTCCTCTTCTCTTGTGAATTTGATGTCGTTGAAGACGTTGTTTATCAGGTTGTGAGCTTCATCTAACTCGTTTCTTTTGATAATTACAAATGTGTCGTCTACGTAGCGTACCCAAATCTTGGGTTTGATCTTTGGTAGAATCATGTTTTCGAGCCTTTGCATCACATTAAAAAATAAAGTTTCAGTAGCAGTAGGATACTGTCTGGACGCGTACAAGAACATCTTCCAATGTGTTCGTCGAAATAGGAAATTAAACGAACCGTTAATTCATTTCTTGAGTATCTTGTTCGTACCTATTATTACACATCATTAGATATATCCTTTAAAGTGATGTAAAAGGTAGGACCAAGTCGTTTGAAAAGTTTCCGACAGCTTATTCTAGTATATGTAGGGAAACCGTTTAAATGGGTTGACAAAACCTGTTTGGCAATCTTTTTCAATGTCGTGGCCTTAAAACCTTTTTAAAATATATAATAATCTTCTAAATCCAAAATAAACTTCACATACATCTTGAGTCTCTTACTCTTATGGATAGTATTCTCGTTTCCAAGTGTCCAGAGTTTTAGCAATAATCATTTCTGAGTGACATTCACCACTTGATGCTTTAAGACTACATAAGACTGTTTCTCCAAGTTTTACAGTTTGTCTTCTTGATATATCAGCCATATACACTTTCATGCCCGTACATTTATTGTGTAACACTGTCGTGTCTAAACAGACAGATGCAGGAAAAAGAATATCAACAATTCCATCTTCAAAATACGTCGTTAATTGTGCACATTGGGGAGCCCCGTCTGATTTCCTAAAAGTGGTATACACAGCTCTCCAGAGTCGCACAAAAGAACCTCGATTTGGGAACTGGCAGCTGCCCCCTGTGTTTGAAAGCATCTAATACATTTATATGCCTTGTCATAGCCAGAGTAGCCCACTGTTATTTCCGTTATAAAGTTATCTGATTTTAATTGGGTATGATAATTGCTGAGGAAAGGGAACTCAGATGAGAGCGAATGTTTTCATAAAGGGAAAGTAAACTTTAAATAGTTTAAATAGTCCCGAAATTCGGATTTTCTTTACACCTACATTAAGTCCCTACAAGATTGAGAATATTCAAGAATGTATAATCCAAGCAGGTTTTGTCACTTGTGCAAACTGATCATGGCTGATATTCATGCTCGCCTTCAGATCAGAAGCCAAATATATTTCATCTTCGTTCATATACCACCAAACTGAGGGAAATTAAGATGAAACATATTAAAATTCTGTGGGAACAAAAACACACAGATCATATTTAAATATGTGCTTTAAATACTTACTACGAGGCAGGGAAATAAAATAGGCTGTGAATACAGAAGACTGTATACACTCATCGACTACCATGGTCAGCTTATAACTGCCAACTAACTCAAATTCTTCCTTCCCTACAGCTTTACTGAAAAGGCGGAAGATAGAATAAATATTCGCTATTTAATTAGATCCAGAGATTTCGCACCCACGTCACCAAAAACTTTTCCAACAGATTGTTGCAAACTTTCATTAATTGATGCCTTCACCTGGTACTGAACAACAGATAGGTAGTGGTAGACGACAAGCAACAAGGAAGCCTGACAGGCAGTGAATCGGTAAACAGTCTGTAATTCAATAAATATGTAGAAGGATATGGGAGTAGATTGGACTTACACCAAGAAGACATTTGGGTTACATCATGCATCTGATGGTTGAGTAGAATCCCAATAGGAGGCAACGAGTTGGGCATGAGTTCAAGGATGATGTGGAGGAGACCATCTGAAAATGAAATGAAATCTTTTCTGCAGTTGTGGACCCAGCTGAAATGAAGACAGGTAGGCGAGTGAAATGGAGACGTGCTACTGAAGCTTACTACTCACAGGGTCTAGCATTCAGCTGTTGGCTAACGCACTCCTAAACCCCAACCCAAATCACTGATCAGTAGTGATCCTGGTAAATAGCAAAGACTGATTGTGTGGATAGTGACCCTACTCCTTATAAGCAACACCACAGGTGTTGAAATGTCAAAGTTTAAAGACCTTTGACACGTACAATTATCTTACGTATAAGTCGAATGCGCAAAAACTGTGATCTGACTGTTTAGCGACGTACTTATAAAGATTTTATTAGTACACCTGAGTGCTTAGCCCGCAGCCAACATAGGAAACACTATATTATAATATGTTCTTTGTCCATCCTGAAATCTTTGTACAGAATTTCCAAATACACACAGCAGTAATATAAGAAAATAATGAGGAGAAGAATCGGTTTGTTGATGCTAAGATATAAAAAATGAAAATATGACCACATACATTATTTTGTCTTGAAAATTTTAGGGATGTGATCTTTTTTTACTATTTTATTTTTTTTTTACTAATACTAATATCTTCCTGACACACTTGATGTAAGCCAAACTAGAGGTAACTGACAAATTGCATTTATTCTTATTTATATTTGTGATGTTAGTATATATTGATTTTCCACTGGGATCTAACTGGAGTCATATATCTAGTCCTTTCTGTTGGAAGTGGCTGAATTCTGTCAGTCAGATATTCCACGTAGTTAGTAAGCTGGCATTACAATGTTCTCTGAAATGATTTTGGATGTTCGGAGCATGAAGCCATAGACCTAGGCTTCTCATTCACTTGACCTCGTCAGTATTGTCTATCTGTGAACTTGAAAATAGTCCTCAAATATCCAAACCAGCACTAACCGAATGTGTATTCGTAGAAATTCCCACTCAGCTATTTGTGCTCACTAACGACTAGGTACATGACTGTGGTCGTTCACTAATGAACACTAGGTGCGTGTGAATTACAGTTCTACAAAAAATAAGCCATAAACTCGAATAACTTTTGAGAAGTCTTTGACTTTAGCACCTAGTGACACCGTTGCGGAATATGAACTCTTTAGAAACCGCAAATAAGCCCTTACTGACGGGTGCCAGCAAACATAAAACCTCGGCTCACGATTTCCTGCCAGTTGCTTTCAAGCAGCTAACATAAATACATTACTGGATAATTAGAGAGAAGTAAATTTAGCGCACTTTGCTGAACAAAAACCTAAGTGACTCATAGGTTTAAGCAGGCTACCAGCAGCAGTGTTCTTACTTCACCTAAGGTTATTTTAGAGTTGGTGACTAGCGTTTCATTAGATGTTGTGTAATCAGCAGTCTCATCTTAGTATGCATATCCATTTAGTCAGAACGAATTACACTAGTCTGTAAGGAACATGAAGGTCGTTCAAGGTCTATAACATCATAGGCAAATGATGCAGATTCTATAGCCATTAGGAGCGTGAATTTTCACAGAAATTATTGATGACTGTTAAAAAGCACAATTGATGTCTAGGTCAGACAAGACTTCCTACTGTTTGGTAAGTAACGACCAGTAGAAGTCTATTATATCATTCACCACGTCGCATACTTAACTAGTAGTTATCCGTTTATAAGCAATAGGTCGTGCACAGATGTATTTCCAATACAATTAATGTTAACTTGCCACATTCAACTGATTTTTTTCGTTCTTCGCGTTATGAGTGAGACACGGGACTTCACGCATTTTGAATTCTTAGAAGCCTTGCTGTCGTTTTACTTTATGGAATTGGATTGCTAACCTTACACCCAACCCTACATCATTCTGAGGCTAACCGCCACCTAGTAAACTAAGCGAGATTAACAGAGTGTGGCAACTGGGAACCGCCCGCGCGCTGATGACGTGTAAAATATGAAGCATCCCATATTCTAAGTATTCGCTCCTGTGGTATATGTACTAAAATTACGACGATACAAAAAAGATAAGGTGCATTCGAAAGCGAAGGTAAGACTTCATATACGAACATACAAAAGATGGAGGTGATGAAGATACCTAACCGACAACAACAACAACAACAAAAACCAGTCACCAGCAATTAGAGAAATTCAAAGTATTTCAATTCTGTCACTTATCTACACAGTATCGTTTAAGATACATGCAGTATGGATGAAGATGTGAACATCGAGATTGGGAAGGTAAGGTAAACCTTCAATAACTGGAAATCACTGTTAAGATCTGCTGCGATCAGCATAAAGAACAAGATCAGGATTTTTAGCACTAATGTCGAGTCACTGTTCTCATATGGTTCATGAACTTGATGCAAGTGTCAACAAAATCACTTCCAAAACAGACTACTGCAGGCTTCCATTAACAGCTGCGCTTACTCGATATTCAGGATCAGATATCTAGAAAACATATGTAACAAGCAACTTTAAAAGGCAACGAACCAACTAGCAACCTATCGCCTAACAAATATGGAGAAGGAAATGGACATGGATTTTGAAATACGCTGACGTCAGCTCTGAATCACATCATGCATCAGGCCTTCGGGTGGAACTAGAATGGGAAACGACAGTGTGGGGGCGGGTTTTATGGTGAAATGGAAGAAGTCACTTGAGGAAGAAATGCAAGCTTATGGAAAGTCACAGAGTAAGCTGGAAAGAAATTGCAGGGAGCCAACATGTATGTTCTACTCGAAATTCAAGGGTATAATAAATCAGAAGAATTAATGAATTGGAAAGACCATTGGATCGGATCCCTGTAGATTAATGGTCTACGACCTCACTAGCCTTGTAACCGGATTGTTCTTAGTTCGAACATCAGTGAGTGCTTGCTGATGATGAGTCTCAAACTAAGATAAAACAGATGTCCAGTACTCCCAGGTCTTCCAATGCTTCCCTAACCGATGTCAGTTCATTGATGAAATCCTGAATAGATGACGGTAGATATTAGATACCTGCATGCAGTATGAATACCAACATTACACTTTTGCTCGAGTCGCCACTGTAATTCCCAACCAATCAATAAATGACCTCCGCCCCACGGAAATCTAACCTGCAACATATTATAAGGAAGGAAACAACACACCGAAACATGTATACGATAGCATTTTATTGCTGTTTCGTGTTATGCAATTGCATACAGACATGAAATAAAATGCAGAGAGAAGAAAAACAATTTAATAGTTTTTTTCAAATGAAATTTAAAATTAAAACGTCGAATTACGTCAAATATATAATATATATATGTATATATGTATGCATATGAAGATAAATTACTTAAGAAAACCATATTTTAATTGTATTCGTTATTTTAAATCTTCGTAAGAAGAGGTTGAATGAAGGATGGGGGTTTGAAGAAGGAAAGCTTAATTCCTTATGGATTTGCAATTTTCAGATAATTTATATGAATATATATATGTATATATATGCAGTTTTTTCGCTTCTGTTCAAATTTCCACAAAAATCAGAAGGTCAGTTGAAGATGCCGCATGTCTTTGCATCTGTCTGTTCAATTTTTATTTTATGATAACTTCGAAAAAGCAAAACAGAGCATACATTTATGAGAATAATGACAATTTAGCGCAGGGACGGGTTGGTTAAGCCGTCAGTGGGCTTGATTTTGGGTTCTTATCTGAGGATTAATCACTTTGCTAACTAATGGTCTTCGTCATTATCACGACATTATTTATAGTCACTTCATCGACTTTAGAAGACAAAAATGAAATGTTTATGAAGCAGTGAACATGAACACTATTTTTCTGTGTGTGTAGAAAGGAGTTTGTATTGTTTTTGTGTTTTAGTTGTGTTATTGTTGATTTGTGTGCATAGAATTCAATCTGCCAACCAACTGACCGACACATCAATTGGCCGAGTTTATGTGATTTCAAACAAACGCGAAAGTCGTTTTTCCTTAAATGACTTAGCCTACTTTCGAGTAGTATAATAAATATCACACAAATAAATTGTCCACTTCACAGAAACAATCGATAGCAAGTAATTAGGTGAAAGGATAAAACAACATAAAATACTTTTAGATAAATAAATATTATGACAGCATGTGAAAAACAAACATTAAATCAATGTCAAATAAACACAGGAGTCAACACATAAAGCAGGAAGGGAGTGATAAAAGTAAGTGCGAATTATGTAACTAACATAGAAATAAAAACAACAACAACAACAAGAAAACACGATAACAATGAAAGTTCTAATCACTTGAACAGAACACACTGAAAGCTCATACGACAACACTGTAATTTGATATTCAAATGGTGCATATGTCTATGATTATTAGAGTTGAATAGCTGGAGACGCCAGTGGGCAAGGGATGAAGATGGGGAATGGGGGATGGTGCTGGGATGAAGACGAACTAAATCAATAATATACTGAATAGAATTCATACATGGACTTGTATATTCTTCATATTTTTTTCATAATTAATGTGTGGATTTTTCCATTTTTCTGTGTTTCAATAAATTATGCGAATAATTTACTTACATTCATACATACAATTGAATATTTATGCCTTTGAAGCAAAAGTGAAGTCATTCTGAGAAATAATTATCACCATTGTCTTAGCACTATGTCATGCAGTATTATAGTCTTATGACTTTACACTTGGAAATAAAATTATGATTATGATTATGATGAATAAGCCTCACATTATTCGATTATTATTGCATATGTACATACATGTATACGCAGTCAGTTTTAGAATAGTTGCTTCCAAGGAAAATAAATAATTAAATAGCTTAATAAATAAATTAATTCATTAATTCATTAAGTGGCAATAAAATTCCCTTACATACACACACACACACACTTTTAATTACATCGGTATTGTCATGATGAAAGGAGTGAGACGCAGGCTGACGATCACACTTCTCTGTTCATAGAATTGTGTACAGCAGATAACGAAACAATCCAGGAAGGAGAGAAGGAAATAAAAGAAGTGAGCCGAAGTATTAAGGAGCAAAGGGTGAAGCGGATATTTGTGTAGTAGTAGAGTGACTAGTAGTCAGTAAGCAAACCTCATCAATATGTATAATCGTGTCAGTTAATTATTTATTTTCAAATTAATAGGGAAACCGTTTAAACAAGAATAAGAATAAATAAATAAAATAAAATAAAATAAAAATGAATTTTTCCAGTAATATTTTGTATGTGCGAATGAGTGTGTTGAGTTTATTTTTTAATACGGTTTAGTTGAATCATTTTTAGGACGTTTCAACTGAACTTTCAAACGTTTCATACCAATTTGAAAGCCATTCATTGCTTGTATAGCAGCCTGTGCACTGGTTGGATTATCAAAGCTAACAAAACCTTAAAAATAAATAATAGTAATAATAATAATAATGATTAAAATTGAGACTATTTTGTTATTAACTGATGAATGTACTGAATAACAAGATGATCTGTGAAACTGAACTGATCCGATAGATCATGATCTTGCCCAACTTCTGTGAGAAGGAATTATTTAGAGCTACAGTCTCTGTTATATATTCCTAGTTTTGCCTAATTTTGCCTAAAACCTTAAAGTAACTATTTTAAGGAGTTATTGGTTGCCAGTACTTTTAATGCATCACTGAGTCACTGTATTTTCAAGGTGATTCTCACTATATACATAGAGAGTTTCTGTCTAGCATTTTGACTGTCGTTTGAGACAGTAAAAGCTCTCTTATTGTCGTCCAGTCTTTTCTTTTGTCTTTGCGTGCCGGTGGTATAACTGTTGTTGTTGACGTGCGATTAGAACGGATAAGCCAGTGCATTAAGTTAGCATTCAGTTATATTCTACTAGTTCGTAGTTTCACCCTAAAGGCAAACATTACAAACTTGAACCACTGCTGATTCAAAACTGACTAAGAAATAATTCCACATTAGTTTGTTTATTAGGTATATCACACAGTGAAACAGTATTATTTACTGGATGACGTTTCGAACAAAATTTATTGTTCATAATCATATCAATTGTGATCACACGACTTTGACACTTGAGTTTTACAGTTTTTCTTTGTTCTCTCCTATTTGTCGTAGGGGTAGTAGAATTTTCCAGATATCTGGGACAGGTGATGAATCATTCCTATTGCATGTATTTGTAGTTGATTCGATAAACAAAGCTTCTGTTATCAATCACTTCCTATACCCTGTGACATTGGATTTTAAAACTGTCATCCTATCCCATCCTATTGTGTGGTTGTGTGTAACTGCATGTAGTGCTATAGCTGAACTATTCTCTAGATTTCTTATCTTATTCGGGTCAACCAATCTAGATTTTGCTAGGTTTTTATGTTCAGCTAGTCTGACTGCCCCTGTTCTACTAGTTTGACCTATGTATTTGACCTGACAATCATTTCAGGCAGGGTATGAGATAAACTAAATTGTTTTGGTTGTAAGGGCTCTACAGGATCCTTTAACCGACAAAGTTTGTTTCTTATTTATTTTATTATTTTTTTTATTTTGATTGACAGCTTGATTCCACACCGTATTTTCAGTACAAGTGTGGAAATTTCAGCATGGATATCGGTAGCCCAAATTCAGGCCGACCATAGATATCGGGTGTGCGTCGGCAGGGGATCGAACCCCGGACCATGTGCATGGTCGGCGAGAGTCCTAACCACTGTGCCACCGACGCCACCGACGAGTTTGTGGGTTTGAATGCCGTTTTTATTCCTGCCTTGTTAAGAATTCTGCGTAAGGCTTCCGAGGTTCCTTCCTTGTATGGAATTACTACTGATGATTTAGATTCTTTATTGTTGGTGTCGTCATTAATATTATTATTATTATCACTATTATCATTATCATTATTATTGTTATTATCACTACCGCTACTATCATTACTTATTTTATTGTTACATTTCCTTAAATATTTCCTGACTAATTTATCCGGGTAATTATTAAGTTTCAAGATAAGACAAGAAATCTGGAGAATAGTTCAGCTATAGCACTACATGCAGTCACACACAACCATACAATAGGATGGGATAGGATGACAGTTTTAAAATCTAATGTCACATGGTATAGGGAGAGATTGACAACAGAAGCTTTGTTTATCGAATCAACTACAAATACATGCAATAGGAATGATTCATCACCTGTCCCAGATATCTGGAAAATTCTACTACCCCTACGACAAATAGGAGAGAACAAAGAAAAACTGTAAAACTCAAGTGTCAAAGTCGTGTGATCACAATTGATATGATTATGAACAATAAATTTTGTTCGAAACGTCATCCAGTAAATAATACTGTTTCACTGTGTGATATACCTAATAAACAAACTAGTATGGAACTACTTACTACCACAGTGCCCAAGTTTTACACATATATTAATATGACTAACAAATATATTTTTTCATTCCTTCTTGATCTCAGTGGAACATAGGGCTTCAAGCTGGAGGCTTGGAAATTCTTTAGCAGTGTTTACTTTTACAGGATGGGACTGCTAGCCTCATGTCCAACCTTCCCTCTTTGCCAGTTCTATTACTGGCTTAGAGAGTTAAAGGTGTATGTCGACCGGGGATCAAACCCCGAACCATGAGCATAGTCGATGAGCGTCCTAACCACTGTACCACCGAGGCACAGACTAACCAATATAATTTCAGAAATTCTCATGAGAAGTTAAGACCAGCTGAATCCACCCATCAAGATAAGGTAAGAAAGATTCTGTGTATTGTGAAGAATTTGTAATTCATGAATTAATGAAATCCAGACCAATGGCTGAATCATTAACGAGTTCGCCTTATTGGATTTTAGGTCCTAGACTTGATCTCTGACATGATCATCGATACGCACTACTGTATAGTTCCAAACTACGCAGAAACAGGAGTCCAGTGCTTTCTTGTGGACTGCTTAGGATCTTGGCTGCCGACAACCTCCATCATTAAATTGAATCCTATTTCTCGTGTTCATATTTTTTTAAATCGTAGAAAATACTCATAAGGACATCAGAAAGAGAAAAGAACAAGAAGCTCAGCAAAGATATCTTTTCGACGAATTCCACCTCAACTGCTGCACAACCGCAGTTATATATATATAGGTTTACATAGATACAATTATTATTTAGTTCCGCATAATAACAAAGGCAGATTAGAGGTGATAATAATTTCCAACTTGATATAAAAGACTGAAGACATGAATATAGATTACAAGGGGCTTAGGCACACAATTACACAGGATTAGAAAATAGTTACATAATACGCAAAGTAATTTTTAAGACAGTATGTTTCCAAATTCACTGTACTGGAAAAGCCTTCGTGATATGAATCGAGAAGCCTGAGCTATATGCTCAAAAGAAACTAATCCAATCTCTACATTTACCAGGGATATACTATGGTTTCACTCCTCAGTTTTCGGGTTTTGATTTGTCATTCCCTGCATTTTATTCGTTTAAAGTTATAAAAACTGTCTTGGTTAAAAACTGCTTTATGTATTACGCAACAGCTTTTTTATTCCCCTTGTAATCTCTATTCACATAATCAGACTTTCATATCAAGCCGGAAATTATTATCACCTTCAATCTCCTCTCTTCTTTGCTATGTAGAATTGAATAATAATTGTATCTATGTAAACTTATGTACATAAATGCAATTATACAGCTTGTGAGGATGAATTCATCTAAAAGATACCTTTGCTGAGCTCCATATTCTTTTCACCTTGTTATAATCTAGAAAAAAAATGCAATCTTTCATGGCGTTTTATATTCTGGGGAGTAATTAAAATGTCTACAACCCTGTTAATTCAGGAGTCTCTACTAGACTTGAGAAAAGGCGTTATCCATGTATAATCCCCATCCAGGCATTAATGAAAACAAAGCACGTAGTTCAGCGAAGAGTCTCTTTTCGGCGAATTCATTCACACTTAGCTGTACAATCGCAAATATCTATGTGTTGTTTTGTGTGTATGTGTACATTAAGTTTGTCAAAGAAAAATACAATTGGTTATGGTTATTTTAACAAAACAGGTGACAACTCATCACCTTTGTAACCACTCTACTTCCATTAACACCTAATTTTCTTGACTGATTTTGTATTACGTAACTCCAATTACCAATCTTCACCTGTTTAGTTAAAATAACCATAACCAATTGCATTTTTCTTTGACAAACTTAATGTACACATACACACAAAACAACACATATATATATTTGCGATTGTACAGCTCAGAAAGTGAATTCGCCGAAAAGAGACTCTTCACTGAACTACGTGTTTTGTTTTCAAAAAGCGCTATTGTGGGTGGCGCCGTATCCCAGTACATGAGATAACGGCTCCTGAGATTTTTGGTACAAATTGCCAATCTTTGGGAAGCAAAACTGTCTACTTATAGTCTTTAATCATTCAGTTATGTTTTCGGGATGCAAAATGCAGTTGTACATATTTTTTTTAAAAATTAGCATTCACCTAAATGTTGTGGCTTTCTTGAAGGAAAAGAAAGAAGAATTATCTTAAGAGACTGGTTCTCACATCAAGTCTGACAACATCGCGTCACGTGGTTTACTGTCAGTTAGTATTTTGCCGCGAGGTAGTAAATTGAGAGAAAATATTATAGAATAAATTCTTATGAGAATTCAGTACACTTTATGAATACCGTTCAGAATGAAACTATTATTATTGTTGTTGTTATTAATTCTCTAACCAGTTTTGATTCATACTAAAGTCCACCCTGAAATATTTTTTTGTTTCATAGATAACTTGGACTAGTCATCTGTCCTTCTGATAATCGATTTTTCATTCCTACGCATTTTCAGTGGAACAAAGAGCTTCAAGCGTAATCTGTGAGGTTTCAGTAGCAGTGATTATTACTTTTAGTGCTCTGGGATTGCTAACCTAAAGCTTGGCCTTCCCTTGTTGTTTGGCTTACAAGCGACTGAGGGAGGTAGAGCTATGTGCTGGCTGGGAACCCAACTCCAGACCACGTGAAGCGTGGTTAGCAAGTATTCTGCAGCTGAACCACCGAGCCACATATTGATGAATAAGTATTTAGTCCACGAACTAAATCGTCTCATTATTCTTATTCAGATTGTACACTGAACAGCGTGATTCAGCGCAATAATTAAAACATATTTCAACATTGACCATTATTGTCGTGTTCAGTATTTATTTTACATGTCCTTTCTATCTATTTATAGGTAAAATGAAAACTTACCAAAACATTTACTTTGATTTGTAGCTCTGTCAACATAAACTTTAGCACTGATTACCGTTCCAAACGGCATAAACATCTGAGCCAATTCTGGGTCGCCAAATTCCTGCGGCAGATGGTATATGAAAAGATTGCAACCCTCTGGCCCTAAAAACACAATGAAATAAATATATTATGGGGAAATAACACACACACATTATAACAACAGGAAATTAAAACAAAATTACGCACAAGCACACAAACACACACACTTATTCTTATGATGACAACACAATCTTTTGGTACAATATCTATTCATTGACACATCTAATTCACCTACAGTTTAATACATATGTAATGAAACAAGCAACATATATGTATGTATATATATGTATACAAATGTATATTATATAGATTCACTGAAATATACACTGACTGATAACAGAATTGACAACAACTGTATGGACATTTAAACAAATAGACGCTTTTTATGCATGTATGCATGTATGTGCGTATATACAAGTATGATTACATGGTAAATAACCGTGGGTGTATTTCAGATTTGGTCACGAAGTGAAGTTAGTTACAGAATTATTGAAAAGCTAAGAGTACTGGGCAGGTGTTTAGTCCTAGTTATTGAGACTTTTCAGAAGTAAGCACAAATGACTCCACCCACCAGGGATCGAACCCAGGACCTTCATGTTATGAGACAAAACTGTTGAGTACAAGTCAACTAAACTAGTAATCCTTGATTTTCTTTTTTTTTCTGGTTCTCTCAATGATATCAATTCATAAGCAAACTCTAAATCAGTTAAACTCCTTCAGAAAAAAGAAAAACGTTACCAGCTGAAAATTAAGCATATTTATGTATTACAACTAATCTACTTCTCCAGGTTGGTAGTACTGAAATATTTTAACAGAATTCAGCAATTTTTACAGATTAAAGCAGACTAATTGAGGAATCTAGAATCAGTAGACACATAATCAATTAGAATGAACATAGTGATGGAAGGCACACGACCACTATTTGATAATTATGACCAATAATTAAGAAAATAACTTTGAATCTCACAAAACATTAGGTCTATTTGCCAGTTTATTTGTAACTGATTGCCTTTCCCTTGCATGCTCCTCGTTGGCACTCTTCGATATATATATATATATCTTCTAATTTCTTGTTGAGTGACAGTTCTTATTCAGTAATAAGAATTACTTCATTTTGACTTAAGAAAGACATAACGTTTTGAAATTTTATAAACTCAGGCTTTGTTAGATGTAGTTCTCTTTTTGATGCAGATTGAATTCTATCTGTCAAGTTTGACAGGTGGCTCGCCATCATGGTGCACTGTGAATTTCCAGTATCAGGTGGTTGGAGGCAATCTGTAGGAAGCCTTGCCTGACCTAAGTTTTGGTGCTAGTTGGCACTCACCAGTCACCAAGGCGTATCTGCAACTGCCTTGAAAGAACCCATGTCCCTTCTGCGATTCGAACGAGCGTCACTCAGGGCTGCCTGTTGTCAGAAACGTTGCTATTGAGTTATTTGAGCTCGCGACTGACCTCCTGTAGGACTGTAGTGGATATTTTTGATTGGACACTAGTCAGAAATTAATGTCATGCTTCTAGTCCTAACTTCCATGCAGGTTTGAATCTCAGAAGGGATATAAGTTCCTTCAAAGTAGTTGCAGATATGGCTTGCTGACTGGTGAGTGCCGACTAGCACGAAACCTAGGTCAGGTGAGGCTTCCTGCCGATGGCCTCCAACCATCTAATGTCTGTTAAGTCTTTATTAACAACTGTGGAGCTGTATATGTAATAAATAATATAGTAGTAGTATTCACTGTTTTAAAATTAGTCAAGGCTTCAGGTCTTTGTTGTGTTCACCAGTATCAGAATACTGATGAAGTCTTGTGTAGCGAGCTGTTTTGAAGAGGAATCCACTGAAGTTATTTTATCACAATCACCAATGCGTATCCTTATAGGGATTTGAATGTATTCCAAGATAGATTTCGTCATAAACCCATATCAATAAGGGTCAGGTGAGCAATTGACCGTCATAGTCTGATATTCTTCAATGGTACACACTCACGACTGCATAATGGACTGAACCCGGGACCTTCTGGTTACGAGAAGCTTGTTGATCATACAGCTAACTGGATTGGATGCTGATTCATGACGAAATCTAACAATTGAAATTACTCCAAATCCATACGAAACATCTCTGATCTAAACGCCTGTCTCCAGCTCATTGATATCTCTCAGCTGGACGTCCTAGAGCGGTTGTATGAGTCATCGCAGGCAGTGGGGTCGACCATGTCATGGTTGCTCATCGAAGACACCGGTTTAAGGTATCGCTATATTACAAATTGATAAGATTGGAATTCATAGATAGTTCAACTCCAGGCAAATGAATAAATGATCACTGAAGTTGGTCTCATAACCTGAAGATACTGGATTCGATCCTTTTTGAGTTCGTGGATGTCCACTGCTGGACAGCCCCAAACTAGGACAAAACAGATGCTCAATGATCCCTGGTTTTCAATTATCTCTAACTAATTTTGGTTCCTGATGGGATCAACATTGAAATCTTTCTTTTTATCCTAATGAAGTCTCCAAGAAAACTGGCACCATATGAGCAGTCACTGGAAGACTAAGGAGTATTAAATACCGTACTTTTCACTATAACTGATCAGTTTAATTCAATACGGAGGAGAGTTAATTGTGCAAAAATTTACCAGGGAATATTATGAACTGACACTTGGTGAATTCTCGATTATCTGCTTGATTTAAGTCACCTGATTACTCAGTCCTTCCATTTACGATAATGTGAGATGAAATCAGTAGATATATGAAAGACCTAAGAGAATGTCACAGACTAACTCCAAATTAAACTCCTATGTCCATTGGTCAAATTTTTGAAGTTAATTTCAACTACTAATCAGTATTTAAGTAGTTAAAAATTGAATTAAACAATTTATCCAATTTTTCATAGAAATATATAACACTCAGTTTTCTATGTTTACTGGTAAAAATCTCTTCTCACATAGCGACAGTGCAGAAGACATGTGCATACACACATATAAAGAACTTTTGTGCTTATATCTACAGACTGAAGTAGTGTCCGTGAATTCTCAAATTTTTTGTCTCATTTATTCTACTGACATTTACAACTGACATAGGACAATGGAATATTCGTAAAACGGATACGACTACAAATTATACAAGACTCATGCACACATACATATACACGTATACATGTAATCCTCACTGTTTCATTCATTCTAGAAAGTCCATGATTACATTTGATCATGGACTGATGCAGATAAGAGAATTATTGGAAACCAACAGGCAGTACTGGATAGTGTTGTTTATTCCTAGTCTTGAAATCCTGAAACAGTACCCATCAGTCGGGGTTCGAACTTAGCACCTTCCAGCTACTGGGACCCAACTCACTGACCAAGTGATGAGATCTAGCCTACACCACTTCGTGATTCTAGCTTGACCACGATGCATTGTCATCGATGATTATATACCTTCATGCCTGGCTGCGTGGATCCCACAGGTTACAACTTCTCACCAGAATTCCAGGCAGCTTCGTCCAATGACCAGAATCAGAATAGTTTTCAGGAGTTTGTTTGTAGGGATTTGGTTTGTTTCAAGTTTGATTTCTATAATCACAAATTGGTGGAAGTTGGACATTATTAGGTCGGGTCCCAGTGGCTGAATGGTATGAAAGCTTGCTGTATAACTAGGAGGCGTTCTGTGTTTTACCTCTGGAGGGTCACACTGTTGAAGACTCCTATGCCAGGACGAAATGGCTGTCCAGTACACTCTTGTCTTCTAACAGTTCTCTAACTGATATCAATCTGTTTTCAAGCTAGAAACAAATCAAGTTCCTACAAGGTAACTCTTGAAAAATAAGTACAGATAATTATAGGATAATGAAATTTGCAAAGACGAAATGTTTATCCCATCAGTATTTGCTTCACTTTCCCCCTGCTTACTTACTCACTCACTTACTTACTCCACTTAAAAGACAAGAAGCAAACACGGAGCATTGTCAATTATAGTTACACATAGAACATGAATAATTAGCCGCTTTCTCCCAGTATAACATCAAGCCAATGTACACAGATATAATAAAGTAATACCCTGTATGGCTTCTGTTACCGTGACATATAGGCGTCCACATACACACACACACACACGGACACATCTAATTATGTACACAAAACATAATGATATAATGATTATTATTACTGAACAACTGGACAAATGTAGGCACTGTAACTAACACCTTGTAAGAACTGACAGTGATACCAATAAAAAAGCGAGGCGAGCGCATAACAAACAGAAAAACTGAACGTAAACAAACAAAAAACGAGAAGAACAGTCAAGATACTACATAAAAGTACAGAAGAAGGACAGAGATACATACGAACACACAGACAAACATAAGAACAATATCTAGTGCAATTCTCAATACAACGTCGGAAAAAGATAGAATTTGAAAGAGAAATCAAGGCAAATGATGAGACAGTTGACCAGAAATTCACGTAATAATGAAGTAGCATAGAAATGCAGTCATAGAGGGGATGAAAGAAAGAAGGAAGGAAAGAAGGTATGAAATAGGTTCAAGAGAACTGCGTACACTACTCAAACCAGTAAGCTTAAAGTGAGTTGTAAAACAAATACCATAGAAGTTTTGAATAAATTTACCGTTGATCATTTGTTAAATTGTTGGCTAATTAGGAAAATGGGAATAGAATAGTAAGTACATCAGTATGAGAGAATATGATTTATACACAAATTTTGTTTTGTAAGGAAACGAAACACGAAATTATTTACCGGATTTACAAACCTCTTGTTCTGTCATTCTCCAATTTATCCGTTTATTTTGCAAGCTGGCTAGAAGACATCTCAAAGTTGAGGGATATAGGGTTTTCAGGGAAACCGAATGCAGACTTGTTCCCAGTCTCTTGTATACATTATCAGTCTGTGATTCAACCACTCGGATGCCCTGTCACCCCGCTGAACAATCATGGAGACAACTAAAATGGACTTTAGTGAACAGAGTGGAGTGGAGGTCACCTGCTGAGGCCCTCTCCCCCATTCGAAATCCAAGGTAATAATACATGCAAATAGAATTGTGCATTTAAAACTGTGCAGTTAGTCATTATGATAATTCTACTAATTAGAAAGATGAAAAATGGAGCTACTTCTGTTAACAAAGATAGTGATAAACTGACATAATTAAACAAGTGAATTTTCAGAAGAACACAGTAGATAAATTCTGAGGAGAACAAAATCAGATAAAGTAACGCTAGACTGTTGGGAGGGAAGTGAAAAAACTATGTTTTTAATGAAGGATTAATCAGAAGAAACCATTATTTATAAAGTTACAACTTGATAGTGGATTGTCAAGTGAAATTTTATTCTAGAGACTAGCCAGAAGTATGTGGAGAACATTTTTATGCAGCAGACGTGTGTATGTTTCTCGTTTATATAGTCAGCAGATGATTAGGACTCGAACAAATGATAAGCTAGGTAGTTTTGCTACATCTATGTGTATTTATCAGTTCATCTGCTCATGAAGTGGTGGTTCTGTTCGGCGCACTACTACAGAGCTTAGCCAATAAGTTACAAAGCATCTTCTACCATGATTTCGTGAAGGACAGATAAAATCCCAGGGAAACGACATTTGTCCTACCTTCCAATGGTCTCCGTATTCATCTAGCTGAAGCTATTGGCATTCAAACTGCTAGGCCTAAATTATGAATTAGGGAGAAGTTTCTTACAACCAATATCCTCCCTCTGATTTTATGAATATCTGAATTTAAAATATGATAGCTGAGCAACTTGAGATGGACACAGAGAGATAGACGGCTGATTTCTATCTGATTTCACACAGACTAGAAGATCTACAAGTGAAAAACAAACAAGTTGTTAGAAAAACCAGGCAACCTAAGATAGGACTTCAAGTGAACACGGAAAAGACAGGGGTAAAGAGGATACCCAACCAACAACAACAGCAGCAAGCATCCGTCACCGTCAACGGGAGAAACCTAAAGAAAATCACCTCTCCCGCCAATCTAGGCAGCCTCTTTTTGTCTGCAGGTGGTAGAGATTAGAATGTCAAAGGTAGACAAGGTCAGAAAAGCAAGACAGATCTTTAAGAATCTGAAATCACCATAGAAATCTGATGCACTCAGCATGAAGAATAAGATTCCGACTTTCAACGCTAATATCAGTTTGATAAGTGTATATGATTCACAGGCTTGACTTTATTGTCAACTTAAGTATTTTGAACAGGCTACTTCACACTTATATCAACACAGGATACCTTTGAATGACACCACGCACCAGGCTCTCAAATGGAACTCAAAAGGGAAACCATGAGTTGTGTGTGGGTTCAACAGAGACATAAAAGAGACCCTGGGAGGAGGAAATGAAAAGTTATAAGCTATCGCATAACCAGGTAGAAAGGAGTGGAGAGAGAGGATGCTAATGGAGATGTGCTGATGAAGCCCTATGTTCCATGTGGTATCCAAGGGTACAATAATAATAATAATCATAATAGTTCCAGGTGAGTGCTAAAAGAATCGCTATATTTGGGCCTGAAGATTCACTCCAGTTTACTGGTTTCTTATGTAATCGTTTTTCGACATTCTCGACATTCAAAGGTCAAAATGAGAGAAATTGAAAACAAAACGAGAGACTGTAAAATACAAAATAAAAGCAAACACATTATTACCAGTGGTATTGCGTAATCATGAATTAATTACCTGTTAAAATTAAATCTTTAGTGCCTTCCTTTTGTTGTATAGGCATTGTAAGCGCTTGATGTGCCATTGATGCGAATGGATTTAAAGCCGATGTGACAGGTGATGGATAAGCTGGAAAGCAAAATTATGCATTTTCATTATGAGAAATTATTCAACAAAGATAATTTAGCATCGTTTTGAATCGAGATTTCGTCACGAATCAGCATCACTTAGAGATGATTAGAAACCAGGCAGTACTGGATAGCTGTTTTTATATTAATCCAAATCCCTACAGAAACTTATAATCTAAACATCGATGTCTATCTCAATGATAGCTGCTGGACAGATATTTTGAAGCCAGTGTGAGAAGTAGTGCCCAGTGCGGCCTATCATGTCAGGGCGAAATGAGTACTTATTGAAGTCACTGGTTGAGGGCAGCACTATATCACAACTGGACAGAAGCTAGAATTCCCGGATCAATAAATTCCTGCCCGAATGGCTAAATGGCCGGCGAGCTGAGTCTCGGAACATGAAGGCCATGGCTTCGATCCCTGGCAGTGTCATGGGTGTGCGATGCTTAACATTTCCAACCTAGGACGAAACGACTTCCCAGCATTATTATTATTGTTCCCTTGGGTTCCTAGTGGAACATAGGGCTTCAACTGCACGTCTCCACTTCCTCCTGTCTTCTGCTGTACTTTTCACCTCCATCCATGTTAGTCCATACTGTTTCAGCTCCTCTTCACACGATCTCCTCCATGTCACCTTTGGACGTCCCAATCGCCGCTTCCCTTTCGGGTTCCACTCGAGCATTGGCCTGACGCGCGATGTCACCCAACGGCCTCCTCAGTGAGTGTCCAATCCATCTCCACTTTTCCTGCATATTTGTTGGGCGATTGGTTCCTGTTTTGTTTGTTCCCATCGTTCCTTTTTGGTGATTCTTTCCGGCCATCTGATCTTCAGTATAGAGCCAGCGAAGACAGTTGTTGATAAAGGTCTGCAACAGGCTGTTGGAAATATTCTCTGTGACCCGCCAAGTTTCTGATCCTTACGTATAGAAGAACTGAATTGACGTTTGTATTGAAAATCCGAATTTTGTTGTTGATGCTGAGCGAGCTTCTCAGTGCTCTCTGGTTTTCGAAGAACACTGACTAATGTCGGTTCCTTAGAGTAAAAGAATCCAAATGTAGCATGTCATGTAAATTAGATGTCAAAGAGACTAACAGTTTAACTCTGTATATTATTTTTGGGTTAATAGCGACAAACAATGGAATATCGAATGGATATTTCATCCTGTTGGAGAATCGTCAGTTGAAAGTATTCACACTCCAGTGAGTAATAGTGTTTTCACTCTATATGTAATCTAGTACCCACTGTCATCGAACAGGCCACTGAGTGTAGCCTAATCCTTAATATTTTTCTTTTTTTGGCTGATTCCTATTTCCAGCGCTTCACTTTGCTTTCAGTCGATAATGAACTGTTGATAATAGTGTGCTGTTTTACTACACTGATTCTGTTTACAAATAGACTCAAGGTCACATTATAAAGTGGCCCTGTGACCTTCGGCTGTCTATGAGAAATGTGCGTTTTTTTTGGTTCTCTTCTCACAGACTCAGCTTTTATCCCACCTTGTTGAGAATATTCTTATTGATTCCCAGGTATTTCATATTTGTATTTTTTTGTACGGTGCGCACTATTTTTTTGCCTAAGAAACTTTTGGACTGTAAAAATGCCGGATGGTATTGTTGAAGTAGTTCTGTATTTTCGATGTGTGATCAACATATAATAGTTCTGCAGATTCTGTTAGATCAAAGTGTGCTTTTGGTTTTGTTGAAATATAATTTTTGGGTTTTGATGTGATTTTGGGAAGAACTCATCGACTAGATTCCTACGTGCATCCAAACCACAATACTTTCTACCGGTCATTACACTTGAAGCTTATTTCAGTCTTATTGGGAATTTAATCATGCAGACACGTTCCAGCTGGCAAGTCTTAAATAGGGCAAGTTGTGCACTTTTGTGCATTCCACTGCTGTCTGTTATCAGCCAAATAGCACTCCAAGACATCATCGCTATATCAGCACAAATGGAACAAAGGCGAAATTCAAATAATTTCAGCAAGACAGCTCAATGTGATTTTTTAAAAGTTGTATTGCTTTACTTTCCGAGTGGAGCATAGGGCTTCAAGCAGGAGCTTTAAAATTTCGGTAGAAGTGATTTTATTTTTGAGGGGTAAGGTTGCTAGCCTTACACCCAACCTTCCCTCTTTACTGGCCCGACTACCACCTTGGCGAGTTTAAGGAGTACATCGACCGAAGATTGAAACCTGGACCACATGAGGTGTGATCGGCAAGCATTCTGCCGCTTAACCACCAGCTCATCAAAATAATGATGACAAAAGTTACGTTGATTAGCCACTTGTGACCAGACGCATGACATTGGGTACCCCATAGTGACCAGTCAGTGCAACGATTGCAGATTAACAGGTGGTCGATCGCGGAAGCACTTGATGACGTAGGGCTGAACCTAAGACAGGGATGAGTTTCTGTAAGCTTGTAGATATGTCTTACTGACGATGGCCAACAAGCACGAAACACAGGTCCAGGATCTCGTAGACGTTGCTTCCGACCGTTTAACATCAATTTAGATGATAAATGTGATAAGAAAGTAAAGATTATATGAAGATTTCAATCACTACATTGATCAGATCAGTCGTCTGGTGTTTAAGTCACTTCCAGCTAGCTAGAAAACACCAACGGTTGTTATGAATGACCTTCAGCTACTCGTGTAGATTAGTACATATATATATATCAGTTGTTGTTAAAGGACACATGTATCGACCGTTATATAAAGGATACTTTTTAAAACATCCTCTACTATGAATTTTAACTAATTGGAAAAGATAAATTCAAAGAGGCGATATTCGTAGCAAACTTAAACCAACATCTGTTGTCATGGTGACGAAAATTACACATGATAATGATGAGCGAAATAAGAACATCCTTTTTTTCTTCAAGAAGCACAACTAATGCTTGTAGAATAAAACTATTTTTGTGAAGAAATAGACGGATGTTGTTAGGCAATCCAATTAAATCTGCCTAAATATTAGTTCTTCCATATTTCTATTTCTCTCTTGAATGACATAGCAGTATGCCGTTTACTGTCAGTGAATGGAATAATATGAGCATAAAGGCTACTGCGAGGAGTTTTCGTGCATATTATTGCAAATGTCACAACAGATATTTCAGCCGAAAAGAAGCAGCTGACAAAACACCCTTGAAATAGCCAAATGTAACGTCTGTGAGGGTGCGTCGGTGGCATAGCGGTTAGGACGCTCGCTGACCATGCACGTGGTCCGGGGTTCGATCCCCGGCCGACGCACTCCTTTACCTCGCTAAGCCAGAAATAATGCTGGTGAAGAGGAAAGGTTGGGCATGAGGCTAGCAACCCATCCTGTAAAATAAACACTGCTACAGAAACTTCAAGCCAGTAGCTTGAAGCCCTATGTTCCGCTTGGGAACGTGAAGGAAAAAAACGTCTGTGAGCACGTAATACAAAATCATCCAACTAGACGAAATCTACCTGGGGAAATTCACTTCATCCAACCCATTCAAAGCGGTGTAAACGATTGGAGGGGATTGGTACATTTGTTTTGCTTTAACTTATATGCTCAGTCGATGAAATATGTTTTCTGTATTGATATTAGATGTTGGAAAGGGGCTTTTTGTGGGATTTGGGTTCATTCCAACGTCCTTCTCTCTTGAAAACTCTTACTAGCATCGAATATAATATTTTATTGTAGTACAGAGTGTTACATAGCCCCTAATTTTATCGAATTTTCACATGACCTTAGCCTATAACCCTAAAATAGGTAGACCTTACGGATGTTGCTCACTTATAACACCTTTTATACTCTCCAGTCTGTGTTGGCGAATTAAAACCTATGAATTTAACTACTTATCAAAAATCTGTCTTCTCCTACACACTAAATACTGAAATGTCGTAATGATATAGCGTAAATGGTTCTGTGGTAGAATACTCATCAACCGGCTAACTTGTAAACCTAGTTTAGCCTCCTAGGCACCAGTAAATCTGAGAGAGAGGAAAGATTTGGTGTGAGGCCAGTAACTATACACCGTAAAACACAAAACAATCCCGTCAATACTAAAGCTTTAAAGCTTGAAGCCACATATTCCATCCAAATTGTAAAGGAATGAAAAATCAAAACAGTTAATGAGGTGCTTACGTAATCCATAGGTTGGAACACTGGGATATAGATGTGAAAGAGCATCTGTAGGAAGTCCAGCCAATGGAGATGTTAGTGTATTTAGCCCGAATGAGGTATTTGAAACTAGAAAGACAAAGTAAAACAAAAGTGAATAAATAATATAAAATTATACAACATCAATATTAAGAGTAGTTTGTCCTAGTATTAAACTTAGGAATATAGTTAGGCTCTAGCTGTATATCTTAATCGCCAGAAATGTCATATTTGTAGGCATTTTTCGTGGTCAAATGACGCTAAATGAATAAGGTAGTAAACATTCTCCTTGAATCAGAACTTCAGTTCGTTACTTCCACTCATTAGTTTATCAATAATAGCTGTATACAGGGCGGCTCCAGAATCTAGAGGGTGTGTTTCTGCTTAAAACTTATCAGTTGGATGCATCAGAATCCGACTTCGTGGTGACATTCTCCCCTTGTATTTTTTTCATTCCAGTGCTCTCCAGTGGAACATAGGGCTTCGGTCTGCAAGCTTTGAAGTTTCAGCAGAACTGGTGTTTGTTTCTGTTGAACGGGGTTGGGTCGCTAGCCTCTCGCCCAGTCCTTCGTTTTCATCGAGCTAAGGTAAAGATGTGCGCCGACAGGAATCGAATTCCGGACCACGTGTACTTTCGGCGAGCATTCTGCCGCTAAACCAGCGACTGCCCAATGTCCACTGTATATATTGCAGATTTAATTATTGGCTAAAATCATTTAAAGAGCTATTGTGAACCAGCTAGCAGTACTCGACACCTATTTCGTTCTAGTTTGGAACTCTTCATAACCACGTAGCCATCAGAGTTTGAATCCATAATCTTCCGTTTACAAAGCGAGCTTGCTGACTACTGAACCAGTATGACTGAATCCGATGACCCACAAATTTCACCTTCTGCCAGTCCGCCGGCCAGTGTCATCAGCGAGTAACTCTTGTCTTATCAAACTTGGTGGAATCATGTCCCAGTGGCTAAATAGTCTACGAGTCCATCTCTCAACTGGAAGTCCCTGAGTTCGAATCCCAGCCAACGCATACTGACGAAGGGTCCCAACGTCCAGGTTGAAACAGCTGTCCAGTACTCCCAGATGGTTTTCAGTGGCTCTCTAACTGATGTCAGCTCTTGATCAAACCTATAATCACTCTTTAAATCCAACACACAGCCTTGGTCCAGATGGTGTACCAGGCATTCTTCTTCAAAAGTGTGCAGACATCTTGTGTCATCCTCTTACTCAAATCTTTAATGCATCACTTAACAAGGAAACGGTACCTGCTGACTGGAAAGAAATCAAGGTTGTACCTGTACAGAAATCATCATCTGGAGTAGGTATAAAGTTTAGACCGGTCGCTATAACATCTTTTTTGAAAACTATGGAGAAACTTCTTTTGAATACTCTTAAACCTTCTTTAAAAGCTTTCAGTGACCCTAAGAAGTTTGCTTATAAGTGTGGAAGAAGTACATTAGATGCAGCCATTGTACTACACCACAATATTGTTTCCTGCCTTGATGAGGGTGCTAAGTTCATTCGAACAGCTTTTTTAGAGTATACTGCAGCTTTCGACTCTGTTCCTAGGACACTTTTATTAGGAAAGATGATTTCAGAGTCCTGGGCAACTAGATGGCTGTCTTCTTATTTTAAGGATAGGAAACAGCATACTGTTTTGGCTGAAAAGCGCTCCACTTCTCAGCTAACTGAATGTGGTGTGCCTCAAGGTGCAGTACTTTCTCCATTTCTTTTCTCTTTCTTTTTGCGTCACCTTCTAAACTCACCCAATGTTAACTTCATTAAGTATGCTGATGATCTGACTGTTTCTGTCCCTGTAGTTTCCACATCGGATTGTTCCCATATGAATGGCTTCTTAGCTGAAGTTAAGGATTGGTCAGGCTAAAATGGTCTTAAACTAAATCCAACTAAATGTAATACTGTTGATTTCAGCTTGAGAAGTGAAAAAGATATGCATGGATTGATCCAATCTCATGATTGTTGTAATATTGATGGTACCATGATAGAGAGTAAGTCAAGTGTTTCTTATCTTGGCATTAGTTTCTCTTCAAACCTTTACTGGTCGTCTCATATTCTTATAGTTTCTAAAAAGATTTTCCGTCTGACTTATTACATAAAGAAGTTGAGGCATTCAGGTATAACCCAATCTCGTCCCGTACAATTTATTAATTCATGTGTTTTGCCCATCATTCCTTATTGTTCTCCATTATTCTTCCCTGGGCTACTCAAGAAAGACTATATCATACTACGAAGAACATTGAAGGCTGTAAGTAGGGTCAGTGCTATCTCTTTGACTCAACTAACCGACACTGTTGTCAATAGGCGCATGAATTCTTGTAAACAGTTAGCTAAAGTTATTTTGTCTGATAGTGAACATCCTCTTTATTCACATTTGGTTCCTTGCATCTCTTCGGGTAAGACCAGAAGAAATTTCATAAACATTTATGCTCGTACTACAAAATATAAAAATTCGATCGTACCATATTTGGCACGAGTATTGTGTGAAGAGACAAATATCAGAAAAGAAATTTTACAACTTTTAAATCATTAACTAAACTATAAAATGAAATGATGCATATTATTGCATGTGTTACTTGTTATATTATTTATTTATTATTCACTATGGTGTGATTTTGTTGGGGTTTCTATTTTTTCCTATTAACTATCAATATTTTCATATTTTATACATTTATATAATTATAAACAGAGCTAAACCATTGCAATATGTAAAAGAAACGCTGAAATTCCATGCTGTGAATTGTTATTGTTGTGGAATAAAGTGATTATTATTAAAAAAAAAATTTTTAAACCCTGAAAACCAACACTTCAAAATTGCTGTGGTCATCTTTCCATTTCAAGCATTTTGATTGGTTAATTTTCAAAGTCATCTGTTTGATCACTGACAGTATTCATTGTTTAACCTCTATAGTAGTGAAATAGTTAACCAACGTTTTATTAAATTCATATAACACTTCGTTTGGAGTTATGTAACTTTTTATGATGCAGTCTAGTTACAAATTCCAATTTCCTTATGTAAAAAGGGAAACTTTATCCAAAAAGATCAACTTACTAGCTTGATTCAATGGAAGAGATACATTACAAAGACTACTGAGTGTAGCTGATGGTGTATGCGTCCCAGGAACTGTATGCAAGGCTAATGTAGGCCCTGTAGCTCCAGGTGATCCCAGGCCTAATGTCTGTCCACTTAAATTGTTCCCATTGCCATTCGAATTAACATTTCCTGTAACATTTCCATTGGCCATTGCAACAACAGCTGCAGCCAATGCTGCAGCAGAATTGCCACTACTCGTAGAATTATTATTTCCATTATCACCAGAGACACATGTACTATTGACATTTGACATGGCAGCAAGTTGTGATGACATTTGAGTTAACTGGGGATTTGCGTTACCAGATATTCCGAGGACAGCGGCAGCTGTAGCCATTGGATTGTTGTTAACACAATTTGGATTTAAACTGACAGTTCCTGAACGTGAATTATGCAATAATGGTGTACAGGCAAGATGTCCACTTGTGGTGGAACCATTAGTTAATGCGGATATCATTGCTAGATTTGATATATTATTGGGTAGATTGACAGTAGCTAACTGACTAGCATGTTGGAGTTGTAAGGCTAACGCTGCCACTGGATTGATATAACCTGTTGTCTGTGCCATATTCTAAAATTTCAAAAGGGATTTAAAAAGATGAAAATCTTGTGTGAACGTAAAAAACTACAAGAAGTGGTTTTATTTTAAACTTAAAAACTGTTGAGGAACAAGGAAGAAGTATAGGACTGCTGTTTTGTCCTCGTTTAAGATTTCTGGTCAACGACTGCGCTACGGTTTCATTGGTAAGATGCTCACTAAACATGCAGGTAGTTGGCGAGTCGAATTCCGACAGACGCAGTCCTCAACTTCGCCTTATTTACAAGCCGGATGTTGAGGTTTGCAGAGAGGGAAGGCTGAACTTGAGGCGGGTAACTCCACTCTTTAAGAAGAAGACTACCGCTACTGACACTTCAAGCCTGAAGCCTTATGTTCCACTCGGAACGTAAAGGAATGAGAAACACTGTGTATAACCGATTTCGAATCGATTCCAGGACTGTCGAAGTTAACTAATGGTCAAGTAGTAGGCTGAGCAGTTAGTTACGTAATCTCCAACGAACTTTTTCAACCAAAGTTCTATGGACAAAAGACAAGTAGTTCAGCAAGGAGTCTCTTTTCGGTGAATTCATTTTCGTAGCTGTACAATCGCAAATATATATGGTTTTTTTGTATGTGTGTGTACATTAAATTTGTCAAACGAAAATACAATTAGTAAGTTCAGATGAATTAGATGTTGATATAAGAGGGTAGTAAGAAAAGTAATGAGTTGTCACAAACGATTGTTAAAGAAGAGTTACGTAATAACATGAATAGTTTAATGAAAGAGTTGTGCTCAGGGTGTACATGGAAACAAAATAACATACGGAATTATGGAAGAGTTTTAATTAGTTAGAAAATAAGCATACAAGCAAAAGTCAAATCAACAGAGTTGTTACCATGATAGTAGAAGTGATTGAATAATTTTCTTTTGTATGCATAGTTCTGGTTCCTCTAGCTTAATGGCTAGGGCTTCTGCAATGCAAAGAAGACGGAATCGTACTGTCTTTGGAAGGTTGTTCTTCACTTTGTAGATTACTTTGAAGCAGGAGGCGTTTGTTGAGATGGAATGACCAGTATTGACGAGGTGTTCTATTATTGCACTCCTTACGCAGACATTACTTCTTTTCTGCAGCCACGCTGGATAGTGTTCTTTGACCCTTTTTGGCAAAATGCACGTCAAACGGCCGATTTACCTGGGTCCACAGCAACAGGTTAATTGATATATGCACATAGAAGTGGTCAGGTGCGGGATCTTGTCCTTTGGACTTCTGTAGATCAGCGGGTGACTGGAGAACACTACTCTCAATATTGCCGCAAAGAAAGTTCTTCTTAAAGAGGTGGAGATTCTCCTTCTAAGGACGTCACTGAGTAGGTCTTCTTTGAAGTCGAGGTTCATATAAAGTATCTTTTTTGGCACAGATGCTGTCTCTTGCTTTTGGATTTTTTGTTTGATGGTTTTTTCTAAGAATCTTGATGGGTAACCGTTTTCTATGAAGGTTACTTTCAGGTAATTTAGTTCTTCTTCCATGGTATCAGAGCTGCAGATGCGTTGGACGCGAGTGGCAAGAGATCTAATTAAGTTTCTTTTCCGACTGATTGGTACCCAGCTGTAGAAGCTTGCCAGTTGGCCGTTCTATGGTACATTTAGAAAAGAGTCTGAAACTTAAGTAAACACTTCTTCGCTTTGCTGTTTTGGCATTTTTAATGCCTCTATGAGTGATTTCAAGCAATAAAATTATACTTCACTTCTATGTCTAATATTGGCAAAGATTTTTAAAATAATTTATAGACCAACTCATCGATTAACTAGGAGATTTCATATAACGTACTTAAATTATTCAGAAAGCCTTCAAATTAGGTAGTCCAGAAGCAACTTAAATCAAATTCACAAGTTGCACAGTTTGAGGAGGTCAGAGGAGGTCACTCTAGTTTCCTTTAGAAACCTGAATTATTCAGATTACCATAACATGTGATCTGCTTCATAAGAAAATTGGTAGTCGAGAAAGCAAACAAATTCGCACAAAACTGTGCATACTACTGATTGATTGATGTAAGTAGTTGGATACCACTCATATCAACCAGTAGTGCTTGCTAGTCATTGAGGTCGAAATTGATTTAAACAGAGAACGACCGAATTTGATTTGAGGTGTTCGTCCTAGTAGCTAGCCAGAAATCGGGTGATTTGATCTGAGCTGAGTCAGTCGTGGTGGCGCATCACTGATGAGCTCGGCCACGAACGAACGAAACGGTAGTCCGGTATCTAGGTCACTTAGATCTGGCTGCCAACCACTACTGGTATTATATTTAGTTCATAATTTGGCGTAAACCAAATGTTCTTTCTACCTTCGGTTAACATCTATTAAATCGACAGTAGCCTGTCACTGCAAAGACAATGCAGATAAACTGATCATAACCCAAGGGATTAAAAAACCTTAAAATTCGTAGTGATCCATCCTGTGTGTTGAAATCTTTAAGATGTATATATCTTGGCATCGTGAGCGATACCATCATCAATGGATTAGACTAGGTCAGCCTTCATTGCTTGATTTTGAGAAAAGTCTTCATGATTCCACATCAGTGTGACATTCATTAGGTAAGTAATAGAGGAAAATCTAGCCGATAATATTCAAGTTATCTTAGCAGACTTTATTCAAACAAAAGAAATGAGCCAGTTACTTAGTGACAGACGCATCTGATAAGGTTAGGCGTGGAATGTCACATAAAGCCGTGCACAGCATAAATCTATATGTACCTGCAGAGCGTCTAATCAGATAAGAATAAATTAGCACTATAAACATCCATATAAAGTCATTATTTTTTGATTAACCTTGCCTTGAATTTAAAGGGGTGAGACACAATATGAAATATTTGCCTAAGAAACCTCTTTCTAAAAATCCGTGCATCTAAAAGACTGTTAATCCTATGATCGTAAAAGTGAGGAAGTAAGGGTCATTAGCCTGCACTTAACAAATTGTCGTAGATTCTAATTGTTCAAGCCCTTACTGTTTCAAGAACCTTCTCGCTTGGTTGCCTTCTAAAATTCATGAATGATTTCAAAGTGTTTAAATTACCAGAAAACAAGAACAACAACAATAGCTGCATAGTACTTAAAGGTTCCAAGATTCTTCTGGAACTAGGTGTGTCAGTCATACTTAGCGTCTGCTATCTCACAGTATCGTTGAACACTTACCCTCATGGTTCTGTAAAGGAGAAAGTAGATGCCCAAAAATCTCTATTCTGTCTGGAACATATTATTGATTCTAGACACTGAGGGAACCCGTAGACCAACTTCAGATTCATCTACAGGGTACGCAAAAATCTTGCCAAAGAAGCACGAATCAGACATTTTTAAACCACGGAAGCTAAAGAGATTCACATGTTAATTTCTCAACTCTGCGTACAGAGGAAGTTTATTCAGTCACTGAACCTAAAACAGACGTAATTTGTATCAACACTTGATATGTAACTTTTGCAAATATCAATCTTTAATTTTAATTTTCAATTTTAATGTCTTTCTGTCTTCTCATTGCTACATTTCTAGTCCTCCTGAAACTGATCTTTACTTGAACCTTTTTCAATTTTAACTGATCTGTATTGATTCGTGTTAATTATGTTATATCACTTAATTCATTTATTCAGTTTTATTGTAGTTTTCATTCAGATTAAAGTTCTCTGGACAATGTGAATGTTATGTAAAACTTGCGATTTCACTGACACATCTTTGGAAATATCCCTTTTGTTGCTAAGAAACCTTACTACATGTATATATATATGCATATAATATATATAATATTGTACAGCTTGAGAGTGATATCGCTAAAAGGGGTAACTCTTTGCCGAATGTCTCTTCTGATATGCAAAGTTTTTGTCTCAACTACAAAAAACACTGTACCGTAATTGCTGAACGCTCTCGCTCTCTTGAAGTCCTCCACTCACCTGGAATTCTGGCACATAAATTTTATGCCTCCTAGATTATTGTCGTTAACAGCTTGTCAGAAAAACGCATCGAATGTTACGTTACCACAGTTATCTACAATTCGCAATGGATTCTATCATTCGTCTAACTCAGTGACACGGCAAAATAGTGCGGTCTATTCACACAGAACCGCCATAAGTAAATTCATATAAAAAACTAAGAATATACGTTTAATATTACCTAGTTCTGGACGAAAAGCAAAAGAAGACAAGGTCAATACCATCCAAAATGGACGCTATACTGGTCAAAGTGGGCGTTCTCTTCGACTCTAAAGTCATAAACTAGCTGTCAGAAGACATGGCGTGCATTCCTTCATATCGATTCATGTAGACAATTATGGAAAGCAGTTTGATTGGAAAAATGTAGAAGTTTTAAACAGTAGAAACACTAAAATATAATGCCAGAGAATTTCGATTAGCCTAGTACTTAGATGAATCAGCGATTGACACACACATGACCATAGACAATCTAATAAAGAATAAATCCCAATGCTGATGCAGACTAAAAACCAGTCATGACCAGAGTTATCAGGAGATACAATTATATCTATCATTCATGAAGAAGAATTCGAATAAGTTCACTTCATATTAAAGCCTGCATTGGAGCGATGTTGTCTAGAAGGATAACGAAAGTTTCTCAATCAGATCAACCAGCTTAGAGAACACAGCCAAATAGCAATAGTAGACGTTTAAAAAAGATGCGGGAAATTCATTGGCTTGATGTCAGTCAGTTTATTTCTAGACTAGATGTTCTACACACAAATCAATAAGCAATACTTTTTAAGATGGTTGGAGGATTTCATCATGAGTTCACAGCGGTTATAGAACCAATGGAAATCCAGGAAGTACTGGACAGCTGTTTCGTCATCCCAATTTGAGAGTCATCATCAGTACTCATCTACCTCAAAAGTTCAAACCCAGGACCTTCTGGTTACGAGGCTAGCTAGCTCGTAGACCATTGAGCCACTAGGACTCTATATGACTGCCAGCCCATGAATTCCAACTTCTGCCGATTCACAACACAACGTGAGTACTCATCGCGGGGTGAGTACTGCTGAAGATTCCAAAACTAGATTGACGAAACAGCTATCCAGTACTCCCTGTGGCTGGTTTTCCAATGGTTCTCTAACCGATGTCAGCTCATGATGAAATCCTCCAAGCAATCAAACAAAATCCCTACAAAAAAACCAATACTTGAAAAGTGTAATTATTCCATAGATAAGAGAAGTACATAAGGAGGAAATGGAAGCCTATTGGCAACGGTGGAGCCAGACAGAAAAATACAGCAATGTTTCGCTGAAGCCCTACGTTCCCTACTTGAAACCCAAGGGAATGAATAATAGTAATCATAATAATAACAATAACAGAACTACTACTTACCTCTAACATTTGAGAGTACATATTTCCACTGATTTGTGATAATGCTATAGTTGGATTAAATAAACCCATTGGACCAATTAGCTGTTGAATTTTTCTTGTATGACGTTCTTTTTCACTATCAGCAAATTTCACAACTATACTTGATGAAGCACCCTATTTGGTAGTTGTTATTGACAGCATCGCACGATAAATTATTGAGATGAAAAAGTGAACAAAAATTAATGTTTAGTATACTAATGACAAAGTTCATAAAGCATAATTAAAGGATACAATGGCTTGTTTGAAACCTGGGCTACCAAGATACTCTACCATCCATAATACTGCATATAGTTTCTTCTGTTCACTTTGTTTCAATCTATTAAAATATGACCTCTAATAGTATCATTTACTCTTGTGAGTATTAGATGATTGGAGGCAAACCTGACCTAGGTTTCGTGCTAGTCGGCACTTACCAGTCAGCAGGGCCTATCTGCTACCCCAAAGGGACTCATGTCCCTTCTAAGATTCGAACTCGCGTCACTCACTGCTGCAGTCAGTCTTCACCAAAGATAGGACTGGTATTTTCCAGTCAAAGTATCCAATACAGTCCTACAGGAGGTCAGCTGGGAGCCTGAATAGTTCAGTGGTAGCGTGTCTGACTACAGGCAGCACTGGGTGACGCGGGTTCGAATCGCAGAAGGAACATGAATTCCTTCAAGATTTGTGATACGCCTTGGTGACTGGTGATTGCTGACAAGTATGAAACCTAGGTGGGAGGCTTCCTGTTGACTGCCCCCAACCCTCTAATACATACAATTCACAGTGCACCGTGATGGCGAGCCACCAAGCATGGTGGCCACGTTGCAAACTTGACTGATAAAATTCAGCCGGCACTAAAGGTAAGACTAGACACATTACACCAGCTGCTGACTAGTGTCCAATCAAAAATACCCTTGTGAGTATTCAAAATGTCTACAACCTGCTGGTTTGCAGGTTTCTACTAAACTTGAGAAAAAGAAAAATCGTGGGCGTCAACGGATTCCAATATGTGAGATAACCATCCCTGAGATTTTCGATGCAAACTGCCACTGCCTAGGAAATAAAACAGATTACCTGCATTCTTCATTTATCCAGTTATTATCATGTCACTGGGTCGGAAAATGTATTCCTGCAGCTTTCTTAATTGGCTTTCAACCAAATGTCATGAATTTCTCGAAAAAATCAAAGAAGAAACATCATTATGGTTGTGCGATACATTGACAATGTGTTGTTTTAGTATGTGATTTTGTTTGAGTGAATCAAGGCCATTCTGACCTTGGACTGCTTGCGGGAAGCTTAGGTGTGTGATTCTTGAGGACAGAGTTTCGATCCCGACTTGTTGACAGTATTCTACGTGATCCTAAGATACTACTAACAGTTGAATTTTGGTTAACCAATATTTTTTGTGCAGTACCTGTTTTGTACTAGGACATTCTCTTGACTGTCTGGCCACCTAACAGTACCGTTGAGGTGATTTCGAGTTTTTGATGTTTTTATTGTTGAACTTCATGTGAAGAGAAGATGAAAACGTGTGGGCAGACTTGGAGCCAAGTGAAGACTCTAGCAGAGAACCGAACGCAATGGAGACGCACGGCTGAAGCCCTATGTTCCTCTAGGAATTAAAGGAAACAATAAATAATAAATGTAATTGTTTTATGGAGCAGATTTACTGACGAATAATCGTTGTTTTGCTCTCTTTAGAACGTTTTGTTACCAAGCGTCTCTCAAGGAAGTTCCGAACAGCCATAGAGTAGGACTTAGAGATCGGTTCCCTGCGTTCAGATAACAACCAGTCCGTTTTGGTTGTCATACACTGTTCAGGACAAGGCTATGAATGCTATGATACAAACGCTACAACTACCTGGAAATGCTCTTAAGAGCAAATTCGGACTCCTATCTAAGCCGAAAACTTAATCTTCACCTGAACTAGCCTTAACTTAACCTAGTCTTAACTTATCCCTAGCCTAACCTTAACTCTGTTCTTTCCTTGAGCTAATCAGATATCCTGTTTAGTATTCTTAACTAACTGATCTCACAGTCTTGCTCTGTCTGAGTCATTGGTGAGCCCACACCTTCTAGGTGTTCATTCTTTCACCGTTCCAAGTTTATTTTAAAGTGATTATAATAGCGTTAGTGGATCTGTTGAGCTGAGTAGTAATCAGACGAACTTTTTCCCAAAGTTATTCAATTTTTGAAACATGAATGGATAATCCTTGTGATGAGACGAGAGAAAAATTGACGCTCTTCAAGCCCATCAGAAGAAAATTCCAATTGACGTTAGCGGCTGGCGACAGACTGGCTGGTCTGACTCCTATCGGTTGATTCTTACCGTCAAAAACCTCAATTTGAATCGTAAACTATGTGCCTAATCATTCTAAATATTGTGTTATATAGCATTAACTACTTATTTGCAATAATAGTAGCTTGTAATTTTTTCTAGAGAAACGTCACCAATACACTTAAGTGATCAATTGATTGAAAAGTTGAAGTGGAAGTGTTATCTGGTGTATTCCTTCCTCAATGTGCAACATTATATATCATATTAAAACATTCATTTTTTGCTTTCCGAGTAGGACACAGTACTTCTGCGACAAACCTCTTTTCCATTCACTTCTCCACCGTCACTTTCAGAGGACTTCAGGCCTGCCCACAGGCTTTCATTTCCTCTTCTCATGATCCCGTCTACGTTGCACTAAAACCAATGCCTAATCCCCAGATTGATATTTGCTTTCCACTGGAGGGCCTGAATGGCATGTGATGCCATCTGTATATTTGTTGGGCAACCCGTTCTTGTTTGGTTCATTGCGAAATTTTATTTCCTGTTGTCTTTTCCAGCTGGCTATTTCATTTTCAGAGGTCAAGGTGGCAAAGGCAGGTGTCAACGAAAGTCAGCAATCTGTTGGAGACTTACGTGTCAAGTCCCTGAAACGCTAACTTAATATTAGTGTCAAAAATTAGTCTTCCCTATGCTGAGTACTGTAAATGTCCACGATTTCCTTCCCGATCGCCTATATCTGATAGGATGCCACCCGAGTAAGGTAGAGAGATTACTTCAGTTGATGGTGATTGGTGTTTGTTTGGTTTTGATTGGGTATCTTTAACACCTCTGTCTTCTCTACGTTCACCGATCTGAGTGTGCCTTTATTTACTTTACTGTCTGATATCTTTGGAATTCAAATTTTCTACTGATTGCTTCAGTTATCGGCGTGTTAATAAAACTGGGATATCAGATTAGAGTTACATTATTTCAAAACAGAAAATGGTTATATGCCATTTTAGCAGGTATACTTGAGTACACAAATACACTAATACACTAATAACCTACCGGCATTGTTTGACTTCCATGCAAAGTAAGAATAGCTGATTGGGCTTCTTGTTGTGTAGAGAATTTTACAAATGCACAACCTATATTCAAAATAGAAAAGACGTTTGGTGGTAGTATGGGAAAACAAATTTGAGTAACATACTGTTAATTTTAATTTTGATTCATTTTCCTGAAGAAGTTCGGAATTCCTTGGAATTACTTATTTCAATTTCACTGAGATTCTACAAATATATAATTTTTACATTTGTCTACTTCTCACTCAGTGCCCAATTATTTTGGAACTGGATTTCATCATGAGCTGACATCGGTTAGAGAATCATTGGAAAACCTGGGAACCAAACAAATGGCTTAATTTTTTACGAGCTCACTAGCGTTGTAGCTGGAAGGTCCTGGATTCGAGTCCCGGCGGATGTAACTTATGATAAGTCCCAAACTAGGACAGTGGGAACAGCTTTCCAGTACTCCTAGGTCTTCGAATAGTTCTCTAACAAATATCAGTTCATTATGAAATCCTGTAACTAATCAATTCCCTGCAAACCAAAACTTGAATATCCCATATTAGTTTGTTTATTAGGTATATCACACAGTGAAACAGTATTAATTACTGGATTAATACTGTTTCACTGTGTGATATACCTAATAAACAAACTAATATGGAATTACTTACTACCACAGTGCCCAAATTTTACACATATATTATTAAAACTTGAATATTCTGGAACTGTTGGATCAAATCTTGATCATAGTTCAAACTGTTAGGTAAAGTTTTGCTTTACCATCTTAATTTAATGAATACACTAAGAGATAATGTGAAAGTTAGTGTAGAGGAATTCAAAAATCGAATTATTGATTAAATGATCCGATTTGAAGTGACAGCCAAATGCTTAATAACTATCTATCTCACTCACGGTTTTAAATCAGTTGCACAACACCACTGGAAACAAGGGGAAGTTATTGGATCTTTTCACTTTTTCAGTAATATAATAATTTCCATTGTAATATTTACAACACAAGAACACCAGGCGTAAGTTGTTCTCTGTCTGTGTAGTAGATAAGCTCCCTCACCTGACCATCTGCTGTTGTGAAGGAATCTACATCGGCTAAGGCTACAGAATGCTTTCTACACACATACAAGACCATATTCCAGCACCCGATCGACTTCTGTCACTCCACCAACTCTGACCATTATTTAAGGATCATCTATTGACTTCCTGCCGACTTGTTGCATTTTTCTTCATTCTAAACTTCTTAAGACAGCTGAGGCGTCGGCCAATCATGAATTCAAGCCAGACCTTTGTGTACAAAAGAATTATGTACAATGGATATTTCTGCCTTAACCGCAGAATAGGTAGAAGGGATAAATATTTATTTTCTTTTCGTTTTGTTTATTTACGTTAACCTTTAACAGTACTTAAAAGCACATTAAGTCACCTAGACAAGAATCTGTGAAATGCAGTCACTGCTATCTGTCTGTCTTATCAGTAAGCAACACTTATCAGATCGATATTGTTAACTTAGTGTGTAAGACAATTGCGTCAGGAAGTTCACCACTAATTATTATCTATGTAGTTACACTTAGGGTGACAAAAAACGTGTCATTTATTATAATTTAGTGGGAACATTACTGAAATAGCAGAACTTTATATTTCACTGTTCTAAGTCTAGTATGACCCACTTCATGAAGTTTCGTAATATTTTAAGTCCTCCTATACACTGTTTGATCAATGAATGGTGACTAATGAGGTAGTGGGTCAAGAGTTCAGGGGAATAAATGATGCGTACTTCGTCCCATTTTGAGCTCTTCAGTTAAATTAACATACATCTCAATGCGTGAGTGATTGTGTCCCCTCTCCCTCGAAAATAGGATTCAATATCATCATCATCATCATCATCAGTCCCTTGACTTTCGTCGTGGGGGTGCTATGACAGTTCGCGCTATCAGTCTTTGCCATTCTTCTCGGTTTAATGCTATTTTCTGTAGCGTATCCAAGGGCATTTCAGTCCACTCTTTTATGTTGTCAAGCCAGCTCTTATTCGGTCGACCTCTCTTTCGTGCTCCTCCTACTGTTCCTTGTAGAATCGTTTTGGACAATGTGTCATGTCTTACCGTGTGGCCGAACCATTGTAGTTTCCGTTTCTTTACGATTGAAAGGAGTGGTTCCTGTTTTCCTGCCAGTCTATGGACCTGGTGTAAGACATATTCATTAGTTTTCCTTTCAAGGTAGCTTATTCCTAGGATCCTTCTATAGCTTTTGTTTTCGAAGGCTTGTATTCTTCTTTCTGTCTCTGCATTCAGGGTCCAGCTCTCACATCCATATAGGAATACAGAGAGGACCAGTGACGAGTAGAGTTTCATTTTTGCTGAGACGCTGATGTTACTCTTCCATATATTCCCTAACTTGGACATGGTGGCAGAGGCTAGGTTTAGTCGAATTTTTATTTCCTTAGTGGACCTTCCATCTTTTGTTAGGGTAGACCCAAGGTATTTGAAAGTTTCAACCTCTTCTAATACATGTCCATCAAGTCTGATACATCTATCTGAGTTGTTTCCTCCGTTAATGAGTATTTTGCTTTTTTCTGTGCTGATTTCCATGCCCACAGATTTGGTTGCAATATCAAGTCTTGAGGTGAGGTCCTGAACTTGATCAATGTTTTCCCCAATGAGGGCTATATCATCAGCAAATCTGAGGTTGGAAATTGTTCTTCCGTTTATGCTAAGTGTCGGTGTAAAGTCATGTAGGGTTTGTGTCATAATATGTTCGAGGAATAAATTAAAGGGGACTGGTGAGAGAATGCACCCTTGGCGTACTCCTATAGTTGTTCTGAAGAACTCGCCAGTTTGATTATTTAGAGATACTGCACTACTAGATTTGTTATATAAAGACTTAATAACCTCAATTATGTTTTTATCTATATTGTAGTTATTCATGACTTGCCATAAGCCTTCGTGCCACACACGGTCAAAGGCCTTCTTAAAATCGATAAAGTTGTGTACTAGCATTTTTTGGTGTTGTAGACATTTTTCGTTTAGTACCCTTATGTTAAAAATTTGTTCAGCAGTGCTCCTGCTCGGCCTGAATCCGGCCTGTTCTTCTGAGAGTATTTCCTCTACTTTCTTTTTGAGTCTGTTCAATATTACTTTCAGCATGACTTTACTTGGGTGGCTGATTAAACTTATTGTCCTGTAGTTCTCGCACTGCTTTGCGTCCCCTTTCTTAAATATTGGAATGATTAGTGACTGAGTCCAATCTTTAGGCCATTCTTTTTCTTGCCAGATTTTTTGACAGGCTGCTTTCAGCCATTTAACTGTTTGTGGTCCACCATGTTTAATTAGTTCTGCCGGTATGTTGTCAATTCCTGGTGATTTATCTCCCTTAAGTGATTTTATTGCTTCCTCTACTTCTGACTCTAGTATGGGTGAATCACCGATCTCCCTATTGTCCCAGCATGAATTGTTTATTAGGCTATAATTAGGGCTTATTTTATGATTGTAGAGTCCCTTACAGTATTCTGTCCACCTTCTAAGGATATCTGCTTCTTCTGTTAAGAGGGTGCCTTTACCATCCTCAATTACGGTTGCTCTATTCAGTTTCGTATTGGTCACCTTACTCAGTGTTTCGAATGCTTTTTTATTGTTGCCTCCCCTTAAGCTATTATCGATGATATTACATTGTTCAGTAATCCAGCCCTCTTTTGCTCTCTTCATTTTGGAGCGTATTTCTTTGTCTACTGTTCTATACTCTTCCCTGTACTGGGAATTAAGTCCTTTCTTCTTTTTTAGTTCTCTTCTTGTATCACACAGGTTTAAAATATCGTCTGTGACCCATGGTTTGATTTTCTTTCTTTTGTTACCCAGAACTTCTGTTGCTGATTCATGCAGCACTGTTTTAATGGTTTCAGTGAGTGAATCGATATTGTCGTGAATCAAGGTAAGTGCCTTAAACATTTCTGCTATGTTTGGGTCCCTAAGTTTCTCTAGGTCATATCTGATTCGAGGGCTTATTTGTCTGCGGTTCTGTTTTAGTTTTAATTTTATAGTCATTAAAACCATGTCATGATCGCTGCCTATGTCTGCTCCAGGAAAAGTTCTGGTTTTAGCCTTGTTAATGCTTGACTTGAATCTTGCTGGGAACAGAATGTAGTCTATCTGGCTATGTGTTTTGTTATCAGGTGAGTGCCATGTTGTTTTCCTTGATGTCTTATGAGGGAATAGAGTGTTGGCCAGTGTGAGCTTGTGGCTGCTTGCAAATTCCAGCAGTCTTATTCCTCTCTCATTGGTTTCACCTAATCCAAAACGTCCAGCTGTGCCTGCCCATTGGTCATATGCATCTTCACCTACCTCAGCATTCCAGTCACCCATGACAATAAGAATGTCTTTTTTCGGAGCCTCATTAATACACTCCTCTAGTTCATCATAGAAGCATTCTACTTCCTCGTCCTGGTATTCAGATGTAGGCGCATAAACTTGTATTATTGTTATGTTAAGTGGTTGAGCCCTAACTCGTAGAGAAATGATTCTATTGTTTACGGGCCTACAGCATATTACAGAGTTAACTTGTTTTTTGTTTACGATAAAACCCACACCATGTTGGTGTTTCTCTTCGTCCCCACTGTACCATATCTTATGACCCTCTTCTGTAGTTGTTACTCCCGAGCCTGTCCACCTAACTTCTGATAAGCCTAGGATGTCCCATCGGTATTTACTGAGTTCATGGGTCAGTTCTTTTACTTTCCCACAGGCATAAAGCGTTCGAACATTCCATGTTCCTATGACTGTGTCAGCATTTGGGAGTTTTATTAGTCGGTGTGTCTCAGTAGCTAACTTATCACTTCTGCCCTGTGACACGGCAGCAGAAAGCGCGGTCGTTGTTAAACCGGGCCCCGACCGATCCGGCATGGCGTTTACTGATATTGTTCTCATCATAGCATTACACTGGGTTTTATAGGTCTTGACGGCACCCATCTCCTCTCCAAGACCGATTTTTCCTCAGGGTTGTCTCCCGAAGATGGACTGTCTTTCAGGACTCATGAGCTCCATCTGCCCACTATTGTGTTTGATAGTTCCTGGTGGGAACTATCTCCTCTCCTAGAGCGATGTTCCCTAAGGGTTGTCTCCCTAAGGTGGACTTATATTACTTACCTTATCTTACTTACCTTACCATGTCTCCGCAACCGTAAGCCCTACAGAGACAAGACTAGTACCAATAGATTCCTCTTGTCGAGCAGAATCCAATGGTATATAAATCAAGGGGTCAACGCTCTTTCTAAGGAAAATATCGGGGTTACCCTGCGTAGCCGTTCTCGCCTCTCTAGTGTCCCTGAGGTTGATGCTGCCTATTACAGACCTATGCCATAGCATACAACCTAATGTTGCGGAGCTAAAAGTGTCAGGAGCTACGCCTGTAGCATGACCTACAGGCCAAGAGACAGAGTATCCTCCCTAGTCTTTGAAAATCCCTAGTCGGCCGAGGAGAAGCTATGTGTCCTTGAGACTGGTGGTAGTGGATAGATCTCATCGAGGGCTATCCATTGGTATATAGCTTCTTTAGGTCCTGGCCTCCCTAAGGAAAATTGCAAGTCTCGGCCCTAAGTGCCCTAGCATAGTAAGCATGAAGCTAGCTAAGTCCGAAATCTGGCCTAAACATGAATAAAAATAATAAGATATAATGTAAAAGGATAGAAGACTTAAGTCTTCTAAGGATTCAATAACCATCACGAAAATACATCACCACTAAACATTGGGATGAATCTATCTCAAGTAGATTCTATACACTACCAAATGACCTAACTGAGCTCAAGCGATCTTACCATCAAATTCTTCAACAGTCACAGTAATAATAAGCAACGATGTCGGCATTAGCTGGAAAGATCCACTGGAAATCAGGAAGCAACAGATAGTCTTTAGTTTAGTTACCAAAGTACTAGCATGTATGAAGGACTGAGTTAAATCTATGTTGATCTTCTTGGAGCTACATTGATTGAGGTGGGTCAGATACGTGCCGCACATTCTGAGCAACTACCTTCTTTGACAAGCGAAGTTAGCTGACATAGGCGTAGTTTGAAAAAGAGTTAGAGGTGGAGACACCAAAACCTAGTATCAATTCATGAAGTCCTTGGCAATCGGTTTGAGCCACTTAAGGAGTTGTAGACTGCCTTGTTGGGGACCTCATGGTGTGAAGAACCAGCGGATTCAGTCTTTGTAATCTTCCATCTTCACTAAAACGTTATGTTTATTCCTTGCATACGTTTATGCATATTATAATCCTTCTGAATCCCTTTTTCTCTCTTTCCTCTGCCTATTTATAGAGTAGAGAATGTGTCAAGTTAAATTTCTTCACTTCTTTCTAAAGCTCTCTATTGAAATTCAGTTGCCCAGGTGAATCAGTGTGATGCACATTGGACAATATTGAACGTTATCAATGACCAACTCCCTTTATGATGCTTTTTTGCTGACCAATGACGACCACCGCATCGGTGGTTCAGCAGTAGAACGCTCGCCATCCATGCACTTGGTCTGGGGATCAATCCTCCACCGACTCACTCCTAAACATTGCTAAGCCGTTAATGAGGCCGGTAAAGAGGGAAGGTTGGACGTGAACCTAGCAATCTCACTCCGTAAAACTAAAAAAGCCAGTGCTACCGAAACTTAACAGCTCAAACTTGTAGCCCTATGTTCGACGCAGAACATAAAGGAATAAAATAGTCCCGATCACACTTCATTGCCCGGTTTTAAGTACCTCTTTGACTAATATTAATTATCAAGCATGCGTTGGGGGCACAGCGGTAGATTGTTCACCGACCACGCAGGTGGTCCAGGGTTCGATACCCGGTCGACGCAATCCCTCACCTCGGTATTCCAGTAGTAAGACTGGTAAAGAAGGAAGGTTGGGCATGAGGCTAGCAACCCCATCCTGCAAAAATAATCATCACTGCTACAGAAACCTCAAGCCTCGAGCTTGAAGCCCTATGTTCCACCGGAGACGTAAAGGAATAAAAGAAATTATCAAGTATTGGTTTTTGTAGGGATTGTGTTTGATTGGTTGGAGGATTTCATTATGAGCTGACATCAGTAAGAGAACCATTGGAAAACCACCAGGGAGTAATCGACAGCTGTTTCCTCCGTCCTAGTTTGGGACTCTTCAGCAGTACGCATCCACCGGAGTTCGAACCCAGAACCTCCTGGTTACAAGGGGAGCTAGCTAGTAGACCAATAAGCCACTAGGACCAGGTTCAATGTCCAGTGCATGAATTCTAACTTCTACCAATTCATGACATAGCGTGACCACTTCGCAATGTCTTCTTCCATGAGTTACTGCCTCACCTTCAACCTGCTGCAGCTTACTGGTCATGGCTTCCCACTAGAACCCCAGGTTCCAAACTAGGACGAAACAGATTTCCAGTACTCCCAGATGGCTTCCAATGGTTCTCTAACTGATTGCATCTCATGGTGAAATCCTCCAACTAATATTAATTAATTTCCGTATATAAAACAATATCAGTCAGTTTACCTTTACTGTTCCCACTTTGATCTCTGAGTATTGTACATTCTTCAATTGTACCAAATGGTTCAAACAGTTGTCTTACATCCTCTTCATTTTGTTGTTTGCTTAACATACCGACAAAAAGTTTACGTTCTTCTAAAACAAAAACAAACATGGAGGACATTAAGGTTGTCTTTAAAAAAAGTATTAGTGGTAATAAGAGGTTGCTGTAAAAGAAATATTTATGTTATATGAAGTAAATGTCGTCTGTCAAGGTGACATACCTTCTACTTTCCTCTTTTCCCCTTTTAATCTTGTATGACTTACCTCATTCTGATGTAACGAATTTTCGTTAAGTGTGCTGGTGACCTATGAGTCTCCGTAGCTGTTACTTTTCCGCTAGATTGTTGTACAAATGAATAGCTTTCTACCAGAAATTATTCATTTGATCATTATGAAATCGTTTTCAGCTGACTGAACTCTTTCGGATGTTAGATTGTTAATTTCACCTTTTGAAAGACGTAAATGAGAGTTACATGAATTAGTTCGTTCACATTACTCTTGTACTTTTACTTTCCCAGTGGAACATAGGGCTTCAATCTGGAGTATTGAAGTTTCGGCAGTAGCGGTGTTTATTTTAACGCGATGGGGTTGCAAGGCACATGCCCAACCTTTCCTCTTTACCAGTCCTATTACTGGCTTAGTGAGGCGAAGGAGTGCGTCGGCCGGGAATAGAATCCCGGCCCACTTGTGTGGTTGGCGAGTGTTCTACCGCAGTTCCACTGAAGCACCGTATGGAGATGCCAGGGAGGGTGGTGAAGCAGAAATTAAGTAGGACAATCCTAGAAACATATATCAGTGCACATCGTTATTTTTTGAAACGCTATGTGAGAAAGATGTAAACGTAAAATGGTATTACGGTATCACATTTTTATAAAAAGTAATATGTCACGAAAGACAGCGAGAGAAGGGATAACAATAAATACTAGAGCAGAAAGTTGAAGTTGTCGAAGATAATGAAAGAGTTAATATATTTATGCAACTATTGTCTATTGTCTGTCACTGCATCAAGTATCTTCAGTCTTCAGTTGTCGACATACCAGAAACCATTACTAGGCGACTTAAATTTTATTCACTAGCTCAAAAGACTGACTAAAAACTTCATGAATCGATACTGTATCTTATTATAGTTTAGTGACGAAGACAGTCACTAATTCTCTTCAAATGGAATCGTCTGTCGTCCTTATTTAACCCCCCCCCCCACTTCGATCGACTAGGCAAGCTTTACTTGAAGGCTGGTTTGAGAAAACAGTTTAGACGGTTAACTATTTTCCCAGATGAATTCAGCGCTCAGTTAACTGTGACTGACTTTATCCGCTCCAAACCACAGCTCAATTTTAATTACCCCATATTTACGTAAGTCGGTAATATGAGTAAGTCTTCTCCCTGTGTATCCGTGTTTTCGCTATACACATCGAATGTACTTAGTGTTTCCAAGTATTTAAAAAGACTTCTATATATATGAATGAATTCGTAGAATTCTACGAAACTGTTCTTCAAAGACAATAACATTTACATATTTTGAGATATTTTTGTGACAGTACTTGTGCTACTAACTTTAATTTAAGTAGACAGATTAAGGACACGAAAACATTTTGAACATGCACGTAACTGATATGCGAATCGAAGTGGAAACTAAAATTTTATAAGGAAAGCCAGAAAGTTGCTGTGGAAGAGATAGTTAGACTTTGAGAATATTGATATTGGAAGAAATTTAGTCAATTCTAATGATAAAAACAAGCTGACAAATTCAACTCAAGAAGTAATTCAAAAAAACAGTGTTAACTAAATAAGATGAATACCCATCTGGTTGTTTTTTTTTTGATTTCATGCAACACCAGGCGTGACAGGGAACAGAAAGTTTTAACAATAATATAATAGGGATAATTTTATCAAGGGATATTTTAGACTGACCATCGTTTCTTCCTGTGGAAACGCAGAATCTGAGGTTTGTTCAGTCAAATTACCCATGCTTTTAAATTTTTTATTTATTTTGCTTATTAATGAGTATAGAGCTATCATTAATAACAACAGGGTGACTAACATGCGACTAAAATTCTTGAAAAGTATTATTGACATTCATTTAAAAGGTGCTTAGTAGTATAATCCTCAGATATCTTTCCACACAAGCAAAGAATGTTATGAAATCAGGATTTAATGAATTCACCAAATCGCTATAGAACTCTTCGTCTGAATACTCTACAAACAGTGATAATATATGCTCTCGGAAACACATTAAGAGACACGTGAATGATATGCCAAATGCACTGGCTTCCTTAAACAGATATGGTAAGTTTCATTTGGCAAGGACGTATGCCCAGTCTTTTGTTCTTTCATAGATAGATAGATAGATAGATAGATAGATAGATAGATAGATAGATAGATAGATAGATAGATAGATAGATAGATAGATGGGTAGATCGATGAATAGATACAGAATTTTGTTGAGAAACGCAGCAGTTCAAGTGTGCACTCTCAGTTTATCACATACACGTAGAGAAAACAGAGAAAAAAGTAATTTGAATGAAATAGAATAAGTACAAATGCAAGGCAGAAAGAATAGTAACAAGGAGAAACGTGAGGGTTTAACGCATCTATAAGATCACAAATAGCTAGTATAACTGCACCACCAAGAACAATTTCGAATCGTACCAACAGCAGTCTCCGGCCACCAGTACACAGCATGCTGAGGACAGAAAGCAGGTAGTCGATAACTCCCTATGTGGACCGTACCATATACATAAATACACCGTTCGTTATATCCTTCGATCTAACAAAATGTCATCTACGCCCCTAATAGATTCTTGGTAAAGTATCTGACTGCTGCACTGGTTGATATGGATTTGAATTTCAGTGGAAACAAAAATTTCTCTGTGATGTTAGTTGTGCCATGCTAACAAGTAGCCAGCAGTCATAAAATTTGCATTGCCTTCTACCATCTGAAATCAAATCGCAGTACAGTGATTCGCTTAGCTTGATGATTACATTCAAACGCATAACTGATGGAAAGCAGTCAGCAATAAAAATCACACCCTAGTGACCGGTCATCGTATATGATCATATACTATGTTTCATAGAACAATTCAAACAATTTGGGTTGACCTTATAGAGAGTTTATAACGCAGACCTCGTCGCTAGCGAGCGCCATTTACCGATCTTTCAGAATTACGAAGCATTGAATGACTGTTTCATCCTACTCTGGAAGTAGGCTGAAGAGTGCTCCCACCAATGACCCCAAAGTGATTATAACTTGGAACCTACAAATTGCGAAGCCTAACCCACTGACCGTTCAGTCACGTGGGCTTGGATTCAATGACCTGTGGATTCTAGCTTCGTCAGATCGTGATATAGCACTACCCTCAAACACTGCCTCCGAGGAACATCCACTTCATTTTAACCTGGTCAACTCCACTGGCAACCACTTCCCATTACAGCTTAATAATATCCTTCCAGCAGCTGTCAGTGAGCTGGTATTTGGATGATGGACTTTTGTAGAGGTATGGATTGGTCTGAGTATAATTTGATATTATTTATTATTATAACTATAGTATCCTTTAATTCCTACAGGAACATAGGGCTTCAGCCGTGCGTCTCCATTGTGTTCTGTTCTCTGCTAGAGTCTTCACCTGGCTCCAAGTCTGCCCACACGTTTTCATCTCCTCTTCACATAACCTCCTCCAAGTCACCCTCACACTGACGACCAACTCGCCACTTCGCTTTCGGGTACCACTCGAGCAATGGCTTGTCTAGTGATGTCACTTGATGGATTGTTTCCTCAGAGTATGGCCAATCCACCTACCTCTATTTCTTCCTGCCTATTTGTTGCACAATCGGTTCCTGGTTGGTTCGCTCCCAGAGATCTCTGTTGCTGATCTTTTCTGGCTGGCCATCTGATCTTGAGTATCGAGCGAAGACAACTGTTAATGAAGTTCTGTAGTTTGTTTGAGATGCTCTTTATGACGCGCCAAGTCTCTGATCCGTATAGTAGCACTGACTTCACATTAGAGTTGAAAATCCGGTTTTTTTTTATGCTGTGTTGTTGACCTCCACACAGACTTGAAAGTACTGAAAGCTTGTCGTGCTTTTCCGATTCTTGCTTTGATATCCTTGTCAGTTCCGTCTGTAGTTGAAACGATGCTTCCCAGGTAGGTAAAGGAGGTTGTTTCTTTCAGGCTCCTTCTATTTATGCTGATTGTTGTCTGTTGTTGTTGTTGCTGTTGGTGGTGTTGCCCAAGAATTTTCATCACCTCTGTTTTATCTATGTTCACCTGAAGTCCTATCTTTGATGCTTCTTCTGCTAACTTCAGCACGAACTGTATGCATTTGGCTGACTTCCAGACAGGTTTCATCACAGAAATACATCATAGAGAATTCTAATTTCCTCTAATTCGGGATCTACGGCCACCGCTATGCAATGCTATCCCCATTCCCACTTGATGGACCCAAAACCTGTCTATGATTTCCCATAGTCAGTTAGCAATCAGCCAGGTGATGATTTCTGCGAGTCACGTTTACGCTGATTCCAACCCACTGGGTGAATAAATAGCTAGTAGGCTAACGTCGTAACCGCCCCTCCCCGCAGCCCCTCTAGTGGAGTTGCCAGTAAGCATTGCTGAAGAGTTCTGAGCTAGGGGAGACATCCATTTATTGCCTTCTGGTTTATGATGCTTTTCTAACTGATACTTTGAGTTAATTGAAGACAGAATGATGATGTCATTCGTTTTCAAATTATAACAGTCAAGATTTGAATTTCCTTAGGAATATTTTTATAGGGAATAATTCTTGCTGGCAATGTATGTTGAAGGGTCTTTATGTTCATATTAGAACACAGCATTTATTAGTGAGCGATAGAGGAAACACAGAACAATAAGACCTGACAAAAATTAATGAATACAGACCACCACTTAATGTTGTCCAATCTGTCGATTTGTCAATAAACTTGTTGTTCGAGTTTGACCACGGACTGATATCAGTTAGAGAACCTGTTGAAAACCAGCCACAGGGAGTACTGGACAGCTGTTTCATCCTAGTTTGGAAATTATCGGCAGTACGCGCACACTGGGGTTCGAATTTAGGTTCTTCCGGTTACAAGGCAA